CATCTCAAAAATAGATTTATTAATAGGCCCGCATTTCTACATATGCGGGCTTGGCCGCATATAAACTGGGTCTCTTTATTTATGAGAAAAGATCAAATAATGTTAGAGCCTATTGCTCCAAAACGTACCTTCACTCCAATTAATCTCCACGTGTAGATCTCCAACTCCACTCACTGCCCAATTTTTATGAAAACAAATAAAGCCTCACCTTAAATCCTCGTCCAGAAAGCACTTAAGGCAAAGAAATCTCCATTATGATTTTAAAATCAATTTTTCAGTACGGACAATAAAATTTGAAGCTAAAAAAATAGTATAGATCTAAACACCTATTTTTAAGATGAATAGAGGATATTTGTTCAGGTGAGATTAGGGTTTATGGTTATGGGTTTTGGGTGTGAGCCACCACTGAAGCCCGAGTCTCTTTGATGGTTATTTGTTCTGGTTTATCATTTCGCTCAAGGACTTTCTCTCATGCGAAAAGGGCTAGGGTCGTGGTGGCAGCATTCACATCCTCGTCACCACGTTGTGGTTTTCATTCGCACTGCTAACACCACCCAACTAATACCTTTAAAAGCTAATTTCTAAACTAATTGAAAAAAAAAACAGACACAACCAGTATCTTCAAAACACTAATTTCTAAACTACTTAAAGAAAAGCGGGTAGGGCCTCTCTTCCCCACTGAACTACCAAAAAAAAAAAAGACTTTTTCTCATGACGTGGGATCTAAGATCAAACGATGAGTGGCTCTCTTGATCAAAATTAGACAGCTAGATAGTAAAGGAAGCATAAATCTTCTATGCTGTAGGAGAAGTGTAAAAACATTTCCCTATACTTTCCCTATAACACAAAAGATTTATGCTTCTCTTGCCATCTAGCCGTCTAATTTTGATCAAGAGAGCCACTCACCGTTTAATCTTAGATCTGACATCTCAAAGTATTTTATTTTTATTTTTATTTACAAATTGTATGAATATGAAATTTGGTATGTGTCATCTTCTCATTGGGGCGCATTTATAAAAAATATTAAAAATAATTTTTCGATAAAATATAATAACCAAAATATCCTTTAAATCTTTTAAGAGTATTTTGGTTATTTTATTTTTATTGAAAAGATTGTTTTTATATTTTTCACTAATGCAAATTTAATAAAAGATTGGACGTATAAAATTTGATATCAAAATAATTTATATAAAAATAAATAAAAATCAAATAGTATAGAGCCGTGACATTGTGATGGGGGCAATCATAACTCTCTATTAAGAAAGGCCGGTTCGATAAGGAGAAGTATTATAAGTTTTATGTCGCCGGAGAAGCGTAAAAAGCTTTGCCCTTTTCTCATTACCCACGCGCAAACATCCCTCATACCAGAGCCACTTTCATACATAGCTCAAGACGTAGTAAAAACCATGGTCTCCAAAGGCCACGATTTGGGCAAAGACGCTCTGATCATTCCCCAATAAAATATGAAAAGATTGCAATAAAAAGCTTTAATCACCTCTCCTCAGAAACCAGTGTTTCTATGCACCAGATTTTTTTACCAAGTCCCCTTCTGCACCATGCATCTATTCTCTAAATCCCAACGATTCCCCCTTCAAAAAAAATTCCGACACCCCAAAACCAATCACCGCAGGAAAAACGCAGATGAACCCAAAAAAACCAGACTCAAAACCCCTTTTCTCACTCATGTCAAAACCCTAGACCCCAAATCAGCAGTACACTCATTTCATGAATGGGAGCACCATGGCTATACACATTCCTACTCTTCATACGCAACACTTCTATACAAACTAGCTCGGGAACACCAATTCAGTTCTGTACACCACATACTCAACCTCCTAAAAACCAGAAACATCCCATGCAATGAGTGCCTCTTTGTTGGCATCATCCAACACTTAGCCAAAGCTCACCTCTTTGAAGAAGCATCCCAACTCTTTGACCAGATTCCTTCCTTTAATTGCAATCCAACGCCTAAGTCACTGAATGCACTACTGAACTCCTTTATAGATTCAGACCAATTTCCAGATGCCGAGAGAATTTTTCGGCAACCCCATGGCCCCAATTTCCGGCCAAATGCAGTGACCTATAATGTTATGATCAAGGGCTTGCTGATATCAGGTGACTGGTTTGGGGCTCGCAAGTTATTCGATGAAATGATTGACAGAAAGATCAAGCCGAATGCCATAACTTTCAATATTTTGATTTCATATCTCTGCAAAAAGGGTGAATTGGAGCAGGCTGAGATGGTTTTTGAGGAAATAGTAAAGAATGGTGAGGCCCCAAATGCCACAACTTATGCTATGTTGATGGAAGGGTTATGTATAGATGGGAAACATCATGAGGCTAGGAAGGTGATGTATGATATGGAGTACAGAGGGTGCAAGCCTGGGGTTGTGCATTATGCGATTTTGATGAAGGATTTGGGGAAGAGGAGGAGGCTTGGAGAGGCCATGGACATATTAGAGGAGATGAGGAAAAGGCATTGTAAGCCTGATGTTGTTTGCTACAACACTTTGATCAATTTTTGTTGCAAAGAAGGGAAGGCCAAAGAGGCTTATGAGATAATGGCTGGTATGAAATTAGAGAGGTGCAAGCCCAATGCTGCTACTTATAGGATGGCGGCTGATGGATTGTGCATGATTCGAGAGTTTGAGAAGGCGTGGGGGGTTTTGCGTGCAATGTGGCGTGACGGCCACACCCCGCTTGTGCATACCTGTGATAACCTGGTTTGTGGGCTATGTGAAGAGGGAAGAGCCATGGATGCAAGCTTGGTTATGGAGGAGATATCAGAGAGGAAGATGCAGGTGACTGCTAGTACTTGGAATGTTTTGTTGGTTAGTTGTGGTGGTGTTTCTCTTGGAAATGTTGATGAAGAAGTTGTGGCCCTCATAGATGAGTTGGTGCAATGTGAGAGTAGTGTTAAAAGTTGAGCTTAGCTCATTGTGGATTATCTACAACCCACGGCTTGTTTTACCCCAAAAAAAAAAAAAAGGGGTGCAACTCTTAAGAATTTTTTTCACCAAAATTATATGTTATGATAAAATTTGGAGGTGCCCTTAATTGGATTGTTTAAGGTTTGCAATCTTTTAAAAACCCCACCCATAGGTAAATTGTCTCATTATATACAATCATTTTTTATAAATAGTTAGTAATTTTTAAGTAAATCAGTATGAATAAAAACCTAGACCGGTAGTTGAGATTTAAGTGGTGCTACCACTACACCTTTAACCCCATTCCCAAGTTTTTGCTGCTGCCTTTTGTATTTATTTGTTTTAAGGAAAAAATTTGTATAAAGTTGCAACCTTAAAATGTAGAATTACAGATGCAACTCAAAAATCCGATTGATCATCTCGATATTGAGATATATGAATATATATATATATATATAATAAAAAAAAAGATTTTGAATCCCAAAAATAGGACAACTTGCAAGACATTATCTAGACCGTCCATTTTCAATATTTTCATATGTTTAGAGATCTACTTGATTTTAGCCGATCTTTATGTCAAAATTCCAAAATTTGGAGATTTTTTAAGAAAATAAAATGGTCGTTTCCTTGAGAATCTATACAAAGTAGCATACAAAAAAGAGACCTGTACATGGGGCGCATGCATATATTTGTTTTGTTACATTTATGTGTATAGGGATTTATCACATTTGTAGTGGTAATTGGAAAAATGCAAACATTGATGATTTCCAGATATTGTAAGCTGTAAGAACTATAAAATCCGCCATTTCCCCTTTTACACAACATTTTGTAACCTTTAAAGCTCAGCATACACCATGTTTGACGTCAAAATAATGTACAGACTCAAACTTCGCGCATAGATAGAGAGAGACTGCCTGCAAAATTTTGGTATCACCGTTAGATTAAGAAACCACGCATCACATTGCATGTCCCAACAGAAAACCCGACAAGATGCGACTCAATTGATCTTCGCTTTGGGCTTCCTTGGCCTCAACACAAACCAGAGTACAGCAAAAACCACTAAGAATGCAGAAAGTGTTGACAGATCAAAGTCCACCTGCAAGAAAAAGTAAATAGCAAAAAATCAGTATTCTATTGAATAAGAAAATAAACAAAAGATAAACTAAATATTATTACGCCAAATCTCTACCTGAACTTTGCGCTGGCGTCTGCAATGGATCGGATGCAGTGAGGCGATTGTAGCATTTGCAGCATCCATGAAGCTGGCACATGACAAAATTGCAAGTAAAAATGACATGAATAATACCTCATTTTATTAATACATTTTTTTTATTAGAAATGTTCATAGTCACAGCTACTCTGAACGGCTTTCAAGCAAATAATAATAAAAAGAGTTCTTCAAAAAAGTTATAACTTTTTATTGGGTCTTTTTCGAAAATTTAATAAAAATGGAATTTATTTTTTGCAGTTAATTCCAAATTAAAAAAGAGGATAACAATGATCTAATTTTACATCCCTGTTAATATAAGAATATACTCCATTAAAAATCAGTAGTTTTTATTTTGTTAATTGTCAAACATTTAATGTTATGTTTTAACTGCTGATTCTCGATCAAAATCCTGTATCAATGTGTGCAAAAACTCCAATTTCTGACCCTTTTGATGCATCCTCAAGCATGTAAAGCAAATTTAAGGCATCCCCATAACGCAATTCACCAGAGACTGTGGCAATCTGTAATCATACAAACAAAAACATAAAATGAGGAACACCTTAAAGAAAATAGAAAACTGAGATATCCGGAATGTGAATAATCATATTCATGAAACATAAAAGACAAACAGAAAGAAAATTGACTGATTCTTTTTTTTAAAAAAAAATCTAGAAAGAACTTACTCTTCTCCAGAGGCTAACAACTGAGTTGTATCGGCTCACCAAGTTGCGCTCCTGGGATTTGAATAGCTTGAAAGTCTGGGCCGCTGGTTTTTGTTAAGTTTTATGTGCACAACGATTTTTGAGATTTAAATCAGATTGTCACTGGGTATGTCCTAAGAGATCAGCATACAAGACAAAAAAGGAGTGCATTAAGTTGAAACTCGAGTGTAGTGAAAAATTTTGCATGCGATTTTGCAGTTTAAAGAAGGCAAAATAATAATAACTGATCTCTGTTATATCATAGTAAGTATAATAATGATTTTTTTTTAATGTCAATAAATGAATGAATCTCTGTTTTTTTTTAATGAAGTTAACTAAATAAATGAATCTCTGTTATATTATAATAAAGGATACTTGTGCGCTCCATAACCAGTAGACGTATAGCATCATTCATAACCTGAATAGACTCATCAAGAGCAGTGACTATGTAACTCCGAGCAATTGTATCAGAGTGGAAACGAGAAATGTGCCATCCTTGGGAAGTGACAGAGAAAGCATTGCACCCCACCGACCATATCCAGTCCTATGTCGGCAAATATAAATTTTAAACTGTAAGTTCTAAAGCTCTAGTTTCAACATTTTGGTAACTTTAGGTATTTCACTTCATAAAAAATAAGAGTGGCCCGTGATCATGAATATTTCGGAACCTATTTCAATGTTTGCATTCTATAGAAAGTCTTGCAAACTAAATCATTCATCTAAAGATCATTTGTTTAAACTTGCCAATGTCCAATTCCATTTTTTAGGTTTCCAATCTGTCATATAATTCTTCATACCTGGATTGCACTTTCATGAGTGTGACTGTAAACCAGGTGGAGAGGAAGTAGACCGGCAAGATGTTCTGCAGTAGCAGCCATAGCAGCTTTTATAGGCCGCCTATGAAACAAAAACTCAGTAAAATCAGAAAACAAAATAACCAAGAAGTTTCACTGAATGACTGGAATTAATATTGAAGTAGATCAACTTCATAAAGGAGCACACTGCTATTTTTCCAATAGAATATCAACCTCAAATCCCACAACAGAGACTGCCCATTACACTGCAGGTGGCTCTCCCAAGAAGATGGATTCGATTGAACAACAATAACCATATCCGGAAGAGCTTTTGCCTGGAAATGTTTGTCCACCAAAAGCAGCTCATTGTGTATAAACCAGAAGATGGGAACTTCAAGTGTAGACCTGCTATGAGAATGTGCTCCTGTGTAATTACAGGGGGGAAAAAAATGGATTGAGATTTAAGGATACTTTAGTTTGTGTGTAACTTAGCAGAAAGTTTAGAGAAACTTCAAATGAACAGAAAAAAAAGAAAAATCAAATTTATCTTGGATTGCTCTTGACTCCAGCTGTAACTTGCCAAATCTACTGAGAAAGTTCCGTATGGGTAAGTAATAATCAGCTTGTCAAAAAGAATATTTGAGCAACAAAGATACATAGGAAGATACATAGCCAGAAGGAAGAGAATTCGTTTTCATTATAGACGGAATTGCATTCCATATCAATGCAATGCTGCAAATGTCTTGCATACAGCTACATGATTTTGAAAACAAATTTGGATTTAGAAGTAACTACCTTCCAACCGGTTATATGTAGGAATATGGATATTTGTTCCTATCCAACCTTGAGATGCGGGAGTACATCCAAGGTTGGAAAGGGATCCAACACCTTGCTGACTTTTCCTATAGCAATAGTGCTAGGCAGTTTGCAATGGAATAGCATGTGTGTGTGTGTATTGCTAGGCAGTTTGCAGTGGAATAGCGTGTGTGTGTGTGTGTGTATTGCTAGGCAGTTTGCAATGGAATAGCGTGTGTGTGTGTGTGTGTGTGTGAGAGAGAGAGAGAGAGAAAGAGAGAGAGAGTGTGTGTGTTTGTGTGGGTATGTGATGAAGTTACAAATCCAAGAGACCATGACCAGAATTCATACATGAGAACTCTGCAAAGTATTATCACGTTAATGTGCATGCTTTGCATAGGAGTGCACAAGGAAGTCTGTTATATTTTACCTTTAAGAGAACCACTATCACTCAGCCTCTGCAATTGATGTTGAAGAATTAAGGAATCAAGATATCCCCTGACAGTTGACCTATATGTTCCATTGACCAACAATAATGGGACAGCTGCTGCACGCCTGGCAACCGAGAAAGCCATAGCCAAAGCAGGATCGTCTGAGAGCGCCAACCTGCAAACATGACGTAAAAATGAATCTTGAAACATATAGAACAAGGCCCATTCACCTCAAAATGAAGCAAAAAAGGGTATGGCACTATGATTAGCTTACATGTGCGTGCTAAACTGAACTTTCTGAGACGGTACTAACAAAGATGAAAAAGCATCCATCACAGCCTTCAATTCAACAGGTAAATTCTTGGTGTTCCTGACTTTCTGCAACAGTACAGGCAGTGTAAAGACTCGCATACAATGGAATAAATATATTTGATGAATTAAAATCAACACACCTCTTGGGTGATGAAGAACAACTGGAAAGATATCTTCTCATAATAATGGTATGCCCCATCAGCAGTTGAAGGTGAAATGATGTGCCTCATAGAACTCCACAAGGTAGCACCAAGATGTGCAAGGAAAGAATCACGTGCAACATTGTAATTTTGAAAATGCTGAATAAATAATTGTGCCAAGTAAAGAATCAGTTACACTAATATCGATGCATGTTTTCCATATAATTGATAAGAGAAATGATAGTAGCTTTATGAATGTTATTGTATATAAAAGACCAAGTTTCAAATGCTTAGTTCAATTTTCAAATGCATATTCCTGTGATGATCACACAGGCAAGAAAAGGTTTTACCTCATGTACGTCACTAAACAAATTCCAGTTCTCCATCCGTTTTAGAGCATCAATAGCCTTTCTCTTATGGCTTTCATCATATTCCTCACCATCCAAATTCTGCAATTCAGTTTTCAGATCCCGCATTCTCTCGTCAAGCTCTGTGATAACCAAAAATTGGCAAGTGAAAACTTGTTAACAAAACAAAGAAGCAACAACAATAATATCAATACTTTCAACCATCATAAACCATTCTACAAAAAATTTCCTATTTTCCTTTTTAAAGTTAATGACATTATTATTGCATGGCAACTCAAAACTGTATCAAGGATCCTCTCACAAGCATGGAAAAAATTGAGACGGAACATCACAACCAAACTGATACGAATGAGGTAGGGTTGCCCTTTTTGCTGCATTTAAAAAAAAAAATCCACTTAAGGGCTTAGCAGTAGTCAATGGGAAGGTCATGGCCGGTGTTTGGCAACACCAAATACGATGCATTAGCTATTCAGAATGAAGCTCCATTTCCCCCTAAATACGACAGAGATGGAAAGATTCCTTGGGCTCTTTTTGTCTCTTAGTATTTTCCACAATAAAGCGCAACACTCATCACCTTAGGTTCCTAATGCTAGGAGCAAGGGTGCTGGCAAATCTAAACTAAGATAAAACTCTGTTAATAATATAAATGGCAAACAGGTAGATCGGTCTCACAATCACAAAGAATAAGACTGAATTCCGAAAACCTATTGTTAATACAAATGATGGACAGCAATAACTTTTTATACACAGCTTGATATTCATGATGACTATCAATGCACAAGGTTTTTAAATGGTGCCCATAAACAATCTACACTATGTGGCACATCATCCAATTCAGCAATGATTTGTTCCCTCTTCGCTTGTAATTCTTCCAACCACAGTTCATCAAAAGATATCTATTACACTTCATTGATGATTCTAGATGGTAATTTTTATCTCAATAATTTACACAGTTGCTTATTCACTTCAGGATGGTTTTTTATGAATGTATGTCACAAGACACAACAGCCTACTAATCAAACCAAACATGAAGATTTCAAGAACAGATACCTTCACAAAGAGCAAGCTTGACCTTTCTTCCCTTGCAGTGCTTGAAAGCAAAAAGCTCATATATATCAATCTCTGCTAAAAGGACATCAATAGCATGATGATCCTGTTCCTGCTGAAATAAGATAGAGCATAATTTCAATCAGAGAAAGAGGCACACAGTAAACCTACAAACCACAATTGAACACCACTTACAGTATGAAAAACAAGCAAGATTTCCCTTGATGATTATGAAAGAAAAGCAAGATTCATATGAAGAATATAAAATATCAAAAAATGCTAGGAAAAAGATAAAGATCTGCACTAGTCTACTTTCAAAAGATAGTACATCATTGAGAAGTACGAAAAGTGAAGCTTACATCCATGTGCCTTAAGCACAGTGGAGGAAGGATACACACATACGTACATACATATAGAGTGATTTCATGTCACCGTTTCATTCTGATATAACAAAAACGCAATTTGAATAAACTATGATTGACACATGTATGACCGCAAATATTGCATAGCCCTCTCTTCATCCCAACAAGAAAAAATTTGAATTTGCGCCCTAGAAAAGGTCAAAATTAGTCCTGTCCAACGACTCCATTCATTTGGTGGATGTTGAGATCACTCCATTCATTTGGAGGATGTTGAGATCTAGGATTCTAAAAACTTAAAATCATTTTTTTTCTGTTCTTAAAGCTGTTCATCTAATGAAGATAATGCTATCTACAAACTTTTGGATTAAAGGAATCCCTCTAAGGCCTAGATCTAATCATTCCATCAAACAGATGGCCTATGTTAATTGGGTTAAAAGAAAACACTTCTCAGGATGCATTTTCATCTTTTTTTTTATTTTTATTATTTAAAAATTGAAGCCAAACAAATGCCCCAAACATGGTATTTACTGGGGCATTTCATCTTATTAGTATAAAACAGTTGCATGAAATCACTCCCCTACACACACACACACACACACACAACATGAGCGTGCATGCACACATCTAATTGGATTTAGGATGAAGGTCCCCACTCAGGTTGCTAATTTATGACAGGCAGCCTTCAAAAATAAATTCTATCTATTGAGTTTGTTTAGCAGGTGCTCATTATGCATGGAGGAAGAGGAAACCATGGAATGTTTGTTGGCTCATACTTCAGTGCAATTAGAGCTGAATAATTCTGGTCAGGTTTAGGACAGTGAAACTTGAATAATATGGCAACCACCCTTTGGTGGCTGGCATTCTTAGCCAAATTTGGAGTACTAGGAAAGAGAAGGAATAGATTCTTTGGTAGCCAAGCTCCAGCCAAAAACACCTTTAGTAATATTAGCCCAATGGGCCACTCCATAAAAGATAAGCCAAAATCCGGATTGCAAAGGGAACCACGCAAATTTGAACTTTATAATGACAAGATCTCCCTTGATGATTTTGAATACAAGCAAGATTCCTCTTGATGATTATGAAAGACAAGCAAGATTCATATGAAGAGCTTCAAATTTGCATGGAAAATAGCTAAAGAGCCAACCTGACTGATCTGCACTAGTTTACTTTCGAAATATAGCGACTTCATTGACATGTATGCAAAATGAAGCTTACATCCATGTAAGCCCTGTGGAGAACCCGGTCTTCACTTCAATACAAAATGGACTTAAAAAAAAAAAATCCCTTCTAAACTGATTCGGTAGAAAGGCCCCCACTCACGTTACTAATTGACTACAGGCAAAAATAAATTCTATTAATTGACCACTAACAGCACAAGGTATTGATGATGAAAAGTCCAAGATTCTGCCCTTGGAGACAAAAGGAAAGGAATTTACCTCCCAATGGCATTGTCAAGATAAAATTTAAGAGTCTCATAGTCATACCAAAGACATCCCTAGTCCTGCAAACTAAAAGGGACATATTAGAAATTCTTAAGGTACTGTTTGAAAATGATATGCAGGTTCCACGAGTTTCAATGAAGAAGTACAGCATAAGGAGTGAGGATCAACTTGATGATTCTGAGTGGATATCCATCAGTCAGACATTATCAAGCAGCTAAAACACACACACTGTAGTTACTGGAATTTACTCAAATTTTCAAGACCCAAACTCAAACATTTACATTTCGGACTTTTTTACCATGGAAAGAGACATATTATTCGCACATAATTGATCTAAATGGAGGCAATCAGGGCTTTGTATTGGCATTAGTGACATTACACACCTTTTTGTTAACCTTTGAAGTCATTTGCCTCTTTTATTAAAGCAATTTCACTTCAAATGAAGAATCTGTAGGTGTGCCACCAACTAGTAGCGCACCAGAAAGTTACTCAGAGGATGAGATTATCTTTTACTCTCTGTTTTATACAAGTTTCATAAGGGTATTTTCAGCCTTTATACCACTATTTTATAAAGAGCCTTTTAAGCACAGCTCATGAAACTTATTCGCTTCAGAGTTTTCTTTTCCACACAAGAAGACAAAAATCAGATGACAATCATGAACCTCAAGGCATAGTTCATGGCACGTATGATCACAAGAAAATGAGATACATGCAAATGCCAAGGAAAATCACACCATTATTGAGAAGGATTGAATGAATATACATCACCAAATACTGCAAATTTCTCTTGAATGGCATCCTGCAGTTTATTTTCAGCTTCAGCCTCTGTTATTTCTGTAGGCCAGGAGAAGTTTCCCATTACTGCTTGACTCAGGCAAAAACAGTCAAATCGTACAAATACTGAACTAAACAGATAGCACAATGTACCTACACTTTGAAGATCTTTATCCTACCTGCTACCACACCAATGGTTTTCCCAACATTAGGTAAACTTAACTCTGTACGTACACCTTCTCCACCAACAGTTGGGCCCCATGAAAAAGGGCCAGCACTTAGATCAATAAAGGCCCATCTGATGAAATATCAAATACCCATAATTATCCGAAATATTATCAAAACATGAATGAAAAAGATAAAAGGGCATAGAAATATTCCAAAAAAAAATTAAAATAAAAATTTCCGAAGGGAATTAATAGCAAAAAAGTAACACAACAATATATGAATATATTATGAGTCCCACTAACCGATCTTTTCCGATCCATGTATCAGTTAGACACTCTGGGTACAAACCAGCTAGCTCCCCAGATCTCAGCTCTTTTTCCAATAGGAGCTTCATATCTTCGTTCTTTCCATGCAAAATCTGGAATTTCAAACAGATTTGATCAAAAATATCTTGCAGCAACCAGTAATATCTAATTTGCTTTGTGCTCTTGCATTATTTAGAGGTTAAAAAATAACTTAAAAAAATACCTGTGCAGATTTGCTGTAAACAACTTCAGCAGCAGTTTTTCCTTGGTATAATGTCTCAACTTCTCTCAAAGCAGCTAAACACATGCTTGACCACTCTGACTGAAAAGAGTATACCAAAATATCATTAGAATACATGAGTAGAGAGAGAGAGAGAGAGAGAGAGAGCATAACAAGATCACTGCATCCATAGCATGAAAACTAGAGAACGTAATAAATCATTGTTATAGGGAAGTGCAAATGTGCAGATAAACTATTAGCATCTGAATTAGAACGTAGTGCTGAGAGCTTCTAAAGAGCACAACTGATCATCCAATAACTCAAGAAATCACATTCATCCAAATTATGAAATCCCAAAAGGCACAAAACAATAACTATGGTTTGAATAATAATAGAAGTAACAATAATAATAATAATGAGGATGATGATGATGATAACAAAAACAAATCATATCATGGTTTAAAACAACAACAATTACCGTGTCAAAATCCTCAGCAGTTGTCCAGGCAAACTTCAACATAGGATGTTTTGCATAAAGTGGCCGTTTGCTCGGATAGTTCTCTGAAAAAGAAAGTACACCGTGTCTTACAGATTATCACAGCCAGAATTGCTTATAAATAAGGGATTATGTGCAGGAGGGACAATTTGCACACAGATAAAATTGATAAGCATGTATCATAACATCATTCATGGTTCAACAAAAAAAGGAAAATCAGAACCTCAAGTATTCCTTACCCAGGAGATTTTCTGCCACCTTTTCGGACCGGAGGAGTTTTGTTCGAATGCTCGCATCCTGTGTACAGTATATCTAATGAGGACATGCTTTGACAAGATAAATAGGTTAAAAGGTTACACAAGAATGTCACAAGAAATAAATAAAGGGCATACAATAGATTAGTCACAAGACATTTTGGAAATATTACAAAAAAAGTTATATTCAAGACTTATGCGACCTAGAAAAGCCATGAGAATAGTAAGTTAATTTGATCAAAATAACATATCAAATGATCATGAAGGGACCGGGTTGAAACAGAAATAACATTCCAATAACCAAAGGAAAGCTATGTAATAGATTAGTCACAGGACTACTGGTCACTATTACAAGCAGTCATCTTCCACTTTCAACGAGAGTCAAGACACAAAAACTGGTTGTCACTAAAAGGAAAAATTGAGGAACCTCAGATGAACTACTTCGCAATAAATTTGATAGATATGATATCACAGAATACGGTCAAGGCACATAGCTGGCATTATAATGTTCGCATCTATTTTTAAATGTTAACAATAAAAAAGAACAAAAAACAAAGGTATCAAGGCAATTTCATTCAGACAAGGATGGAACCTCATCCACACCGAAGCTCTGCACATCAGACCCCTAACCTAGTATTAATAAAACCATCAGCTATTGCTTGCCTTCTGTGTAAAAATAAAACAAAATAATAAAAAAATGAAGCCAATACTGACAAAATAAATACTCAATCTCATGCACAAACTAGCATGAGTGCCGGAGACAATGTAGGCCTCAACATAGCATCCACGTCTCAATATGTTATTCTCTTGGTGTCGACCCCAAGGCTAGCAAGTAAATGCATCCAAAAGTTTGTTAGTCCAACTTGTCGCAATTTCCTTTTATAAATGGGTCCCCATGTAGACCCTGATTGTCAGCTAAACGATATATTTAAATGGGAGCTGGATACTTCCCTCCAGTCGAGAGCTATAAGTTATCAATGTACGTGATTCCAAGAAAAAAGAAACAATCATATATAAAAAAAAGAGAGAGAAACAACCATACTCGTCAACGGAAAGCATTTAAGTATCACACCAAGAATTAAGAAAAAAGGTCATCTATGTCAAATTTAGTAACATGAAAGTCATCACAAGGACAGATCTGAGAAACTAGTTATAAGCATGGAAATTGAAGTGGCCCCCCACCACTATTATTTCCCCTTGGCATGTTGAAACTTAACCATTCCATAAGTGGACTGCACAAGAATGCAATATAAAAATTAGAACCCAATTTTTGTTTCTCTAGAAAACACGAATGTTTTCTTTCTGCCATTAAAGGTTGTACAGGATCTATAAGAAAAACCTAAGGAGCAGACATAAGATCATCAGAGCCTTTTCCCAACAGTGTAAATTTGATATGAATAAGTCATGCATCAGAAGACTAAAACGTGTAAATGGATGTCTAGAAGAAATACTCTACCAAACAAATGAAAAGATTTAAATTGACAATGATTTAAAGGAAAATGTGATAGGAGAGATAACGGCAACAATACCTCCTTTAACAAATTAATATCCGACTCAGACAAACCCCTCCTGTAAAAACAGGATGCTGACATAAGTCAAAAATAATATTTATAGACATGATCATCGCTTAAGAACATCAAAAGGTAGACAGTTTAGGAATCCATGGCTACAGTTTCACAAGGATTAGACAACACTTGAAGACTCACCCTGCTAAAAAACTACTCACCGATAACCATACTTTGCTCTGGCATTCTCGTGCTTCGGGTTCAAGATGAATATGTTATAGGCATTCTCAAGTTCAAGATAATCAACAAGACTTGCAAATAAAAAGGACATCCTATCCATATCAACTTGCCAGAAAGTATCATCGCCAGGCCTGTATAATGATAAAAAGAAACTCTCAAGATTGGTGAAGCACTCTTGACCATAGATGCAACTAAAAGACATAGGACCATTTCTTTAACCAACTTTTTCAGATCAACCAAACAAGATAAATACTGGAAAGTTTCCCATATGTTTTTAAATCTTAGTATGGTACATTAGACAGTAAGAGTGGTGGTCCAAGGTGAGCCTGGAGAACTGGAGATATTTCGAAATGCTATGCCAGTCTCCTTGGCATTGCAGATTCATGTACGGCCAAGCTCAGACTCGGAATCAGGAAATTTCAAGCTCAATATCCAAACCCTTGGTCATTTATGGGTTTTTCTTTTTTTTTCTTTTTAAGAGGAGGGACAGTTGTCTTCTCTGTATCTTCCCAATTTTATAAGATATCTCTAAAGGGACGGATATCAAAGGATTTCTTAGAAGGAACTCAAGCATCATTGAAGCACAGAAGGAATTTTTGTGATCTTGCAGTTTGCCTTCCATTTCTGTAACTTAAGTGATTCCTGTCAATGTGGAGGCTAATTCAGCATCAAAAGCTCAGCAAAGTTGGATGTACCCATTTATGTGTTTCAGAATAGGGATTTCTCAGCAACTTAGGTGAATGAAACATTTCCATTCGTTTTAATAAATATTATCATTTATCAACTACCACTTGCCTATAGGCATCGTGGTGGCACAGCTTTTTATTGTTAACTTTGTTTTACTTCATTGAACAGAATGAAATTTACAAGCATACACATTTAGAAGCATACACATTCAAGGTAAATGAATTCCAGAGATGTTTTAGACATTTTTGCAAACATATCAACAGCCTCATTGGACTCCCTCCATGAGTAATGGAAGGAAACCCTCAAGACTGCTTGTGACAAATAAAATTCTTCTAAAATGTTAGCCCATCATAATGGGCAATCCAACCCCCTACCATACCGAGCTATCACATTTGATGAGCCTCCCTCTGTCTTTATATTCTGCCTTCTTAGGTGCAAGCCCAGAAACCCATGAGCACAGCCCATGCTTCTGCCTCATTGTGGTCACAAATATTGGTCGGTAAAACATGCAAGTTTTAAGTTGAGCGCACACTATCTGTGTGTGGTTTTCTACATATCACCTATTGTTACCTTAAGAACATCATTTTTCAGAAAAGAGAGCAGAAATGGAGATTAAAATTATTATCAAAAAAAGAAATGGAGATTAAAATTGATAATATACAAATATCAGGTGTTTCCACAAAAAGCACCCATCTGGCACATCCATGCTCAAATTAAAGAACTGCTCTTATTTGATCAGTGCTCAAACCCTTGAGTATTATTTTATGGACATCATTCATAAGAATGCAAGCCTGTTTTACCTATTATCTGATACATTCTCCTTGTGTGATAGAACCCTTATTGCATGCTCAAACACAGAAGTGACCTTTTCTCCCATTTGTATTGCATGAACAGAGAAACTGAAAGAACACAAGCAACATTACAGAAATCAATGAGGGAACTCCTACATCCCAGAAAAGGAAATCCAACATGAACGAAGGATCTCTCTTCATGAAAGTGGAAGGCGTCAAACCCATGCAAGGTAACTCAAGAATTGAGATAAACAATGTTACTTGTAATTCACATGGCTAAGAAGTGGAAGATGATGGCGCTGTGACCCATCCAAGCTGATCTTATAGAATGGAGTAAGGGCCTCCCCAACCTGTGGAACTCGTGTATGCTCAAAAATATGATCAATTTTTGTGAACCACTTTTCAAGTTCTTCAGAACCGAGCTTGAACTCTGTTGAGAAAATCACCCAACCCAAAAAGTCAAACTCTATAAAGGAGGAGGAAGAAAGGTTGATAGGGAGTCGAACAGCAGCGTTATCAACAAAGGGAATTAAACCTTGAACCATTTTTTTTTTTCTTATTTCTTTTTCTCTTGTAAACCTTGATAATATTGGTGAGCCATAAATTAGAGGCCTAACAATATTAGACAAATTTTAAAACCAGAAAATGATTATCTCTCTCTCCATCATTTAGTTTTCTTACTTAAGAAAAACCATAAAATAATTTTATCTAGCGTTTTAAAAATCGGCAATCCGGATTGGGTATCGCCCAGCCCGTTCCGAATCTAATGAAAAAAGGGATCCAGCCATTTTTTTAGAAAAAAGCTCGATGATATCATAAGTCGAATTTGATGATGTCAGGAATCGTTTTGCATGGATCGTTTTGGAATTTATATAAAGAAAAAGGTGAGCAAATTAATTATTTACAAGGGTAGCTCTCGAAATTTTTTCAAAATTGAAGGCTTATGTTGCCACGTTTCCTGCAATTGTCAGTTGCCATTGTATGTCAAACACGTCCCAGTCACGCAATCACATTAAGGTGCACGCACCACAAACTTTTTATAATAGTGAATTCGCCTTTAAAGCTTCGATGTGGGAAAATTCAACGCACACCCTTTGCTGCACAGCCACTTCTTAAACCCTTTCGTAAATAGGGCTCTCTCTCTCTCTCATTATTTTTCAGATTTAATCTTTTTTTAAGATTAATTATATTTATTTCTTTTTTATAATATACAAACATAAAGTGCATATAATTAATATTTAATTACATATAATTACAAAAATAAAATTCCATATAATAATTTACAAAAATTAAAACATAATTATATGAAATAGTTGTTTATTTATGTTAATAACTTAATATAATTATGTTAAATTATACATTAAAATTATTTTTAAATTACATGGAAGTGTTTTCTAATATTTTTAAATTATTTTGATGTAATATTATAATACTATATTATAATACTATATTATAATTAATAGTTATACAAATATCTAGATTATAATAATGCTATATTATAATTAAAACAATATTATATTAATGTTAACTTAACGTAAGTTCATACAGGGAAAGAATATCTCAATATTTGCATATTGATCAAAAAAAATGAAAGTTAATAATGTAGTACCCCCATTTCTCATTGGATTCCTTAAAAACAACATTTATAATGATTTTTAATAATGTTCTTGGATTTTTTATTGCCGAATCCAACTGATTCGGCCGATTCCCTATCCGAACCGCCGATTCACCGATCCGGATGGGTTTTTGGGGTGCTCGATCCGAGGCACCGATCCATTTTTTAAACCACTGATTTTACCTGTGTTTCGCAATATTGTATATTTCTATACATGTATTTTCATACACTCTTATATACATGTTTCATATCCTATTTATCACATTAATTCCTTCACATTATCTGAAAATTTATTAGTATTATTATCATACATACATACATATAACTGCATATCTAAATATATGTGTGTGTGTGTGTGTGTGTGAAAAAAGCTAACAAATGGTAGCACCAAACAGGAATAGTATTTTCATTTAGGCTCCCCACCGCCGATCATGATCACATAGTGGAGAGTGTACATCTTTCGTTTGCCTAGTTCTTATGGGGGCACACTTGTTAAAATAATAATAATACCGACAAAAAGACCAAAATACCCCTGCAACTTGCATTGGTATTTTGGTCTATTTTTATCAGAATAATTTTTTTTATTTTGGTTAACAGTGTGTGTGTGTGTGTGCGTGAGTTCGTGCATGTGTGTGTGTGTGTGTGTGTGTGTGTGTGTCATGTAACACATCCATTCAACCAATGTTCGAAAATTCCTCCGCCCGACCGCCTAGGCGCTATTGTCTAGGCACCCGCCTAAACGGTGCCCCGTGACAACTTACAGGCGACGGAAAAAACCCTCGGGTGAGGGAAAAAAACATAATTTTTTCCCCCTAAAAAAGGGGGAAGAGGATTTTAGGGCGTATTCTAAACCCCCAATAGAAAATCCGTGGCCTTTAGGGTGATAGAAACCCCTCAAAAACCATTATTTTGTGATTTATCAAAAGATCGATAAATTTTTTATTTTTTCGATTTCTTCCCAAAACAAAGGCAATAGTTCTTGGGTGGATTTGGAGCTTCTAATAGTTGATTTTGAGAACTTTTGGCGACCCAATAGACGAGGTTAGCACCGACATCGATTTGATTTTGATATTTTTAAAGTATTATCATATTTGAAATAGGGTTTTGATTTTATTTTGCTACAACATATTATGTTATGAATCATGTATTTTTTCTTTTACTTTTCTTTTCGTTTACAGTATATTTACATGTTTGTATTTATTGATTTTTTTGTCACTTGGACGATGAAATTGAGCATATATCATATTCTTTTATGAATAATTGATTCCTTTTTTGGTACAATATGTTTTATTTTGATATTCTAGTTTTTTGTTTTAGTTTATTTGATAAATAATTGATTATGCGATATCTTAATGAGTTACGTCTTATGTCAAAGTGAAACTAAAGTCTTAAAATGTCTTATATATTCAGTTATTCATTTAAGAACGTTTTTTATGTCAGGTGTGGGGGGGGGGGTTTATTTTGGTGAGGGCACCCTATCCCTGGGCGCCCGCCTAGGCTGCCAAGCACCCAAACCGCCTAAGCGCCCGAATCCATTTTTTTTAACATTGCATTCAACTAGTCTTGGGTGCCATGACCGAACTTGCTAAATGAGTATGTCAATGTTCAAGAAGATGGGGCGGTCGCCCCAGCGATCGGGGGTCTCAACTTCCCCGGCGGCAGGGCAACACTGTGTAAAAAAAAGGGACGAGGGGTGAAATATATTATATATTTTGAAAACAATTGAAATATTACTCTATGTTTGGCTACAAATTTTAAAATATTATACCATGTTTGGCTATAAATTTGAATATTACTTTGGTATAGCCAAACAAGGAGTAATATTTTCAAATTTACGTTATAAATTAGAAATAAAGCCAAACACAGCCAATTATATATTGTAATCTCTGAAATAGCACACCCTTAATATATATATATATATATATATATGAAGTTTCATCATAAATGTAAAGCCAAATTTCAAAAAAAAAATACAAAATGATAAAAAGGTATAACTATAACATAACACAATATTCAAAAAAAAAAAAAGAAACACCACAAAAAATAGTTTTTGTGGCAAAAATCAAGTTCTCTTGGGTTTTGGGAGGCCAAAATGCCCTACCCTTTTGGCGAGGCCCATTTTGGGGCTTCACCAAAAGGGCCTTGGGCACTGAGCACCCGCCCAGGTGGGGGCCTGGGCGATTAGTTGGCCACAGTCCCGCATTGGGCCGTATAAGCCCATGGGGGGCCAGTGTGTCCTGCCAACCGCTTGGGCGGCCAACTTTTTTAACTTAGAGTATGTCTTTTGACTACTGATACATCAAAAAAATAATAATAACATGATGCAAATAGAAAGGCAGATGCTTACCATGGTTCCCTTTTCCTTCAAATCCTATAAAAATGAAATTAACAGGGACCGGAAGATACATAGAATCTACCTCTTGGAGCTTCAAATAACTTGCAATGCTACCTGAAACACAAGGAAATAGAGAGGAGATAAACATGTCATACAAAGATCTCATGTGAGAATAGTTAAGATTACAAATCCGTGCAAACAAATTGATAAGTGAAACCATAAATGAACCTTGAAATGTAGATGTAAAATTTAAAGACTTGCAAATATGATTCAAAAAAAAATTAAAAACCTGCAAATCACGATGCAATTAAATGGCACAATTGCAACGCCCAATGTACATCAAAAAACACTAAAAAGAAAGTGAAATGAAGTTCAATCAAATTCGTGAGATTTTTTTTCTATGCCACATCAATGTGCGTATTTTTTAATACCTAAGATGAACAAATTAAGCAGAATTTGCTTTTTCATTAATTCTTCAGAAAAAAAATTCCTATCAAGACACATTTTTAAACAATATTTAAATACTCAAAGACGTTGGGCATGGGCATTTTTATACCACAAAGTTATCCATAATTTACCTAAAAACAAAAAAAGATAACTGGGAACACGAGGTTACTTAGATAGATGTGCATGTACCTACCTGCCTTGGTATAATTAAGCACAGACATCTTGCCGAAGTCAGAAGATTCTGAAGCTTCCAGATCATCGAAATCTACAAATTCAAGATTGATAGAGAAGTTGAATTATATTTAATGAATAATAACTTTGGCTAGAAGCCATATAGGAATAAAGTGTAATGTAACAATCACTTTCCGAATTCCATGTTTGGATGTAATATTCTATTGACAAATAGTACCTGAAACTGTAATGTTTTAGACCAGATATGTAGTGTCTTTAACATGTTCGGATTAATTCTATGAATAGTAAGCAATTATAACCATATGGAAACAACTAGATCACATGGCAGGATATTCCATAAAAAATCCTTGTGAGACTTTGCTCTATTGAAAAATACTTAGACAACCAATAGAAGTCTTGATGAAATGTGTTCCTTTGAGCATGCATAGAAGAAATGCATATCCCACAAATTAAGGGAACAGGATTGCTTTTCAATCTGTAACAAAAGAAACATGAAATATACTACTTTTTGAAACCCATTTTTAAAAACTCTTTCCATGCATACAGTTAACGTTTAAAGAATCAAGTAGAGGAATCAGAACAGCTTGACTCAACCCAGGATAGCCTGAGTCTATATTATCATTATGAATGATGCTCTCATGAGTGCTGCATTGCAACTGATCAAAAAAAGATATAATGCATGTATAACAAAAAGGCCATGGAAAAAGGTGTATATCATCTATACAAATAATAAAATATACACTCCCTGTTGAATTTTACAAACCCCATGCTACATCAGCAAGTTTTTTTTTTCCGATAAGTACATTAAAACCAAATTCTAGATTACGATAACAAGTGCATCAACCAGCAAAATGTCATACCTCCATGAATAACTGAATCACTCCAGAATCTACTCTTTCCTTTGAGGTTGAATAAGGAGAATACTGAAGATCCCCCACTCTTACTTGTAACCTTGCCAGGTCCTGATGACCCAGATGCGGGAACCTGAAGAATTTGAAGTAGTGAACAAACAATCAGTTGAAAGAAATAAAAAGTTACCTTAAAGAACAAAATTGAAAAAATAATAACAAATATAACAAGGCAAGTATCAGGATCGTAGAAGAAATAAACAACACATCAAAATGGCAAAAGTACTAAATGAATACATTGTCATGGTTTCACCTGTTATTGAAGACATTGACATAGCTTCACCGACTATTGAAGGCAAAAGTTAAAATTAAGACGTTCTCTATTGGGACCAAGAAGATGCCATTTTTCACTGACCCTGAATTTTCATGATTTACTACACAACAGGTGATCTTATTACGTCATTTTAGTATTAACAGACTGTCACAATTGCGAAAGTGCATAAATTTAGCGAGTAATGATATGAAATAAACCCTAATTTCCATCACTGCTGGAACTGAAACTTCTGGTAAACCAGATGAAAATGTGTAGTACAATTACAAGTGGTTCACAGAGAAGTAGTGAAGAAACCACATATATCATCTGTCTCAAAACCCAGATTTCCATCTTTTTCTATAAATTCACATCTCACTGAACGGTAGAGTTCCGAAAATTTCAACAAATTATGCATTACAAAGCAACAAAGAAGACGGATTAATGAAAACAGATAAATTTTTGAGCTTATCCTGCTCTTACCAGAAAACTTGCTCCAATTAATAGCAGAAAAAAGGCCGAAAATTTCACAGAGCTTGAATAATTAAACTTGTTTTTTGTATGATCTCGATCCATTTATTACCAGACTGGCATACCAGAGCTACAAAGCTTGTTCAGCTAGGGTTTTCAATGATGAAATTGAAGTTAGGGTTTTAATGGCGAATTCACCACCAAAAAAATAATCGAAGTGGAAAACCCTCTCGGTTGATAGAGAGGAAGAAAAATGAAGTCACGACCAGCATCTGGGACCTAGACCTTTGTGGACCTCTTGCGGTGACGACGAAGGGTACATTTTGCTGTCAATTATCTAAAATATCCATGTAATGGTAAATTTACTGAAATGCCCTCGGCAACTATCTGATTATTATTACATTAGACTTGTCCCGGACGACTGACGTGGATCGTCCGTCTCATGCATCCATTTTGGATCAGTGATCTGGAAATATAATTAATTAAAAGGGATTGTATACAATGAGATCATTTATCTTTGATACATAGAGGTTGCGATTATTTTGTAACCATCCAAAGTGAAATATGATAGTTTGGGATTTATAAGCATCAATTTAAAAAAATATTAAGATAAGCTTGAAAAAGAAGGAAAATAAAAGTAATGAAAAGAGGGTTTTTGGGGTTGGGTTTGGGGTTGGGGTTTGGGGGGGGGGGGATGGGGAGCCATGGTCCTTCCCAGAAGTAATGCGAACTTGGCCAATTTCCAATATGGATTGGTTGTATTTAGAACACTCTCATAAACTTCGAAATGATGAAGTGAATCTATGACATATATTCTCTCATTTGTTCAAAATATATACATACTTGATGAGTCTCATTTGTTCAAAATATGCATTGTGTATAGAGATGCATGCTATCCGACTAACTATTGTGTTGCGTGTGATTCATTAAATGGACGGCGGATGTGAGACTTCAAGTTCATCATTATTTGTTAGGGGGATAGTGGCTCGTATCATTGCTCAAGTACTATGCAAAATTAGTGTTGTGGTGCAAAGGTTTCCATGTGTCCTAAAAAAATTTTGCGTTTGGCGACATCCAACCATTAGATCTTGGTCCTATTGAATTCTTGGTTCAAATGCCTATAAATACAGAGCATTTGTTTAATCAAACCGCAGAGAAAGGAGTTTAACATTGAAAGGCTATAGAGCTTTAGTTTGTCTGTTAAAAGCTTGACCAAGGCCTACTTCACAAGTTCGAATCGTGCCATGATCATACAATTCTCTGTGGCCAAGAATTTACCAACCCATGCTATCCGCGACCGTAATGGACAAGGTTTCAATCCAACCACGATTAACAGTGAAACTGAGCCTTCATTTATGTAGTCAAGTGCTATAAATTTGGTCTCCTTTACATGCATCCTTATCTCTTGACTGCTGTCAAAACTCGCAGCTGATAAATAAATCGAGTCAAAGCACAAACAGTTTTGAATTAGGGGGGAGTTCAATTAAATCTCCAACAGCAGTAAAAGGTACATTCTCAGTCATTTGCAGTCACTATCCCAACTCAATTTTTCTGACGGTCAACTCAATGAAAGACACGAAAGTGAATCTCGATACAAGCAACTCAAAATGCCCTTTTATGCTACAATAGCCAGTGCCCCGAATCCCTTCCAATGCTTGAACCAACTGCAAGCATGGCGTTAACAATAACTGGCCTCCAAGTTTAAGTGGTTGAAAACCATTCTGGCCATGCAACTCAAAGACTCACAAGCACAATTGATCCTCTTTCTTCAAGCTATCAGACAACCTCACCTGAGTACACCCCAAGATGCGAATGAGTCCCAACGAATACACCATCAGGATAAAACTGAGCCGAGTAAAGCAGCTGTTCTCTCGATAACATTTTGGGAAGCACAGTTACTCTACTGACCTGCCACAGTTTGTTTGGGTTCTGGTGCAATTTAATAATAATATTATATGAGAAATTTGGAGAATTGAGAGAGAATTTTGTGAAACTCTGCTGATCATTTTCAAATATCGAATGCACGTTAGAAAAGTTCGATTATTTGCAGTCTCCCAACTTTAAAAATAAATCTAACACCCTTAGAACGAAAAATCACTGGGTATATTTAGAGTATAGATCATTCACTTTATCAACTGCTCTTGACTTGAAGCACACAGAGATTAAGTAGAAGTGTCGACAAAAGCATGGAATCCTACAGTTCCCTTAACCTTATGTTAGAATTCAACGAATTTTGTCCATGGTAGGAGGACCTGTGTCATTAGCCAGCTTATATGAGATGAAATATTGGGTCACGATGCATTGTTTGTGCCTAAGTCCATATGCATTCAAAAATCACAGATCCAATACTTCATATGTGGTGAAAACTGAAAGTCTTCAGGCCTTGGTTTGTTAGGCAATTCAGGTTGATGTCAAGCCGAAACTCATTGGCATCGTTCTATAAAGGTCCATAATAGATCCGACCATCAAACTCGCGTGCTGAACAAGCACTCAATATTTGTGATTGTTGCAATCTTACTCTCTTTAAGTGAAACTCGCACGTATATAATCGTTTTAAAGTTAATATGAAATATAATTTACCCAAAAAAACGTTGATATGAAATATCATCTAATACAGCATATCGGATAGTTGCATATCGGATAGTTGCATACCGGATAGTTGTAGTGAGCTGACAATTGTGTTGTAGATTTTTCATTTTTATCACTTTTAACATTTTGCGAATTGTCGCTTTAAACTGAACCACATAAGTGATCGGGCGATATCCAAAATGTATGTATGGAGTGAAAGATTCACTCCAACAATTCGGGTTTTAAAACACATGTACTATTAGCCATGTACCTATTTAGAAAGGTTTCTATACTTCCCCTACAACGTAGAAGATTCGCTTCCCCTACCATCCAGAGTCAAATTTTGATCAAGTGAACCACTCACTGTTTGATCTTAGATCCGACACCTCGTAGTATTTTATTTTTAGTTTTTTTATACAAATTGTATGAATATAAAATTTTGTACGGGTCATCTTCTCATTGGGGTGCACCTATAAAAAATATTAAAAATATTTTTTTGATAAAATATAATGACTAAAATACCCCTTGAAGCTTTTAGGGGTATTTTGATCATTTTATTTTATTGAGAATATTTTTTTTAATCTTTTTTACAAGTACAAGTTTGATAGAGGATTGGACGCCAACAAATTGGTGTCAAAATAATTTATAAACAAATTTAAAATAAATAGCGTAGAGATATGACATTGTGATTGGGGCAATCTTAGCCCTCTATGGAGAATGAACGGTAAAGAGAAGTATATAAGTTTTATGTTTTGGGGGAAATAGAATGCTTGCCCTTATCTATATCCTCACTTTCCCAATTTTATTTTCCATAATTCCTCAGCTAGTCTATAATTCTAGATTATAGTTTTCTCTTTTATCGGTTCGTTTAGATATCAACAAAAAACATGGTTTTTGAACAATAAAATTGGATACTGGCGCGAGACAATCAAGCCTCACTCATAGTTAGTGAAGCGGACCAAAAACGTGCCTTTATGGCCCATAAACGAGCGAGAGGGGAACACGTTTAATTTTTCCCAAATGGTCGGGTGGCTTGCTATGGCTATGGTTATAAAACATTTTTAGTCATGGTTATGTTTTGGACGGGCTTCAAGACTTGAACCCGTCATCTCTCCTATAATATTGCGCACCCTCTAGATTAGAGCCTAAAAACAAATAAAAATACAAAGAAATATATTCATTTGAGAATAATTGTTAGATTATTATAAGAAAATGTATACAATGATATCATCTGTTTTTATATAAGGAGGTCATAATCATCATTAACTGTTATATTTAAAATTGGGTGGTTGAGAATGTGTCATTATTTAAGCACAAAGTCCAAAACAAAAAATTTTAAATAATGTAACACAATTACATTTATTGGATTTCACATTCAATGGCTAAAAAAAATTGTGACCTCTTTATATCAAAAATAAATAGTTTCGTAATATATCATACCTTATTGTAGTTTTTATATATACATATGGTTGTCAACAGGCCGGGCAGCTTAACTCAACAATGTCATTTCAACCTTGAAAAACTAAAGTTTCGGTTATAAAATGTTGCTCAAGGGCTGGGCCTGGGCCAAGGCCAAGCCACCATGGTTTAGGAGCTTGACTGAGCTTGGGCCAAAACCAAGATAGGGACTTCCCGGCCTTGCCCTTGGTTTCCTTGATGTTTAATTCTTTTTCTATTATGTCGGGTTTGGGCTGTCCAATCTCTAGATGATGATACTGTGAATTGATTCCCCACTATTATGGCCTTAAAAATGGGAAAGTATTTTGTAGACACGCGACTTACTCAAATTTTGTTGAAAAAAACAATTTACAATGTCAAAATCTATCAATAGGTTAACTCCACCTAAAAAAAATGATTTTAAGTTCTAAAAATGGTCCATTTGACAACATTATTGTCTCGATTGTTTCTTTTAAGCCCTATGGACACATGTTTACAACTCCAACTTCTACATTTAGAGGTAGAAATGGATTTGCAGGCCATTTTTTCAGTATCATAAATGTTTTCTTTTCATGGGATCTAGTGCCATATGTGTTTTTTATGTCCCATCTTGTCAACCCCACTTCAAGAACCATCTCACCCCCAATAAACCCCTATTTATTTTTTTTATAAACTTGATTATTTATAATATATTACTAGGTCACCAATTTAGACTAAACTAAGACAGTGATTTGGCATTCCGACATAATTGTGTGGAGTGGACGATCCACCCCATCAATCGAGGATTTGAAATGCTAGTAGTAGCCATCACCTATTTTCTTATTGTTTCCTAGTTTCTTTTACATAATTCTATAGGGAAAAGATTCATGCAAGGTTGCAAACTTATATTATTGAAATGAGGTGCACAAAAAAAATCCTACATAATAGAGTGTTTTAGTATCGGAGAAACTTCCAATTGATCATTTCGACCTCCAGATATATGGACATGGAGAAAAAAAATATTACAACTCAAAAAACTAGTGCATATTGTAACAAGTTATCTAGGTCATCTATTTTCAAATATTTATTGGTCTGCTCGATTTGTATCATTTTTAAATTTTAAATTTAGTTTGGGACGCTAAAATGACATCTCTAAGCAAATTTTCAAATATTGTTTTACTTCTACAATACGACGAGGCACAAACCTCACCCAATCCATAATTATCTATGTGATTGTTATCACCTTAGCCGATGTTTTCTTTTAAGTTTTAATAAACAATATTGTTTATAGAAATAAACGTATAACAGGCTTTCTGAAAAAAGAAAAATCGATACTATGGTGTGAAGACCTTTTTCCAAACAAGCACAACAAAACAACCAAGCTTTACTTATAGTTAGTGCAACAGACCAAGCACGTGCCTTTTTCTCCCATGAATAAGCAATACGAGAAACGAGTTTAATTTATAGGAAAATACGAATATCTCCTTTAAAATTTGTATCTCAATTAACCTCTCGGTCCTATAAAACCTCAAATTAAAAAAAATTAAATAAATCATTTAACCCCTCTTAGCTTTTGTATTGTCAAAATTACAATGTTTACTTCTTTTTTTGTAATAACCCCATTATAAAATGTGAGGTATGTATAAGGTGGCAACCTTAAACAACCACAGAAAGGTGCACCTCAAAATCTCATTACAATATGCATTTTCAGTGCAAAACTCTTATTGTGGCCTAAAAGTATATTTTTCACCCCTATAATGAAATTGAAATCTCCGAAAATAGTGCAAATCTGGCAGACCTATGAGCACTCAAATATTTTAAAAATAGACGGTCTAGATAATGTGCTACAAGTTGTACTATTTTTAGAACTTGAAAAATATTTTTTCTTTCATTTCCATATATATTGAAGTCAAGATGATAGATTGGATATTTTTCTAGTGACTGAAATAACATTTTTTTATGGGATTTTTAGGTGCACCTTACTTCTACGGTTGACACCTTATATAAACTTTTTCCTTATATAAATAAAAGTTGCTAGAGAGAGACGGAGGAAGAATTTCATGGGCAAGTAGAGAGAAAGAGATGAAGCGCTTTTCTTAGGTTTAGATAAGGATCCGGTTTCTCTGTTGCCAAGCCCGCATATGTAGAAATGCGGGCCTATTGATAAATCTATCTTTTAGATGGATTTTTAGACTTAATTTTTAGGACATGTAATCTCTAACAAGGAGATAATGAATATGAATAAATAAAAAAATTTAAAATACTAAAAATAATAATTATAGTAAGAACACACTTGGACCGTTAGTTTCCATTGTTTTTAGATAGAACACCTACGTGCATCCATCTTTACAATGGATGCTTTACACTTTTTGGACCGCATATGTAGTTATGTGGTTTAGCCCGCATGAGACAATTTTCTTTTAGATAATGGGGTGATTAAAAACATGAGGTTAAATATTGTAATTTGGAGAGTGAAAAAATTAATATGGGGAACATTATATTTTATTTAATTTGGGGGGTCTCATGGGCTTTTTCTATATGACCAGAGGTTATTTGGTATAATAGTTTTAGAGAGGGGGTATACATCTTTCTTCTTTAATTTTTTTCCAAATGGTCAGGAAATTTACATAAGTTGTGAAATGTACAAATTCTCCCTCTCAACCGTTATCCTCGAATTTTATATTTAAGTTGTTGTGTGCGGAAGCTCTAAACCCGATGGGTCAAGTTTTGGCAAATAGATAAAGATAAATAAAACACTAAGCACACATATTAAATAATAAAAAGATTTACTTGATTAATCCCAGAAAGACAACATTAACAGACACGGCAAACTGAAATTCACAATACCAATAAAAGTTACATCATTGATTTTAAGACATAGACTATCTAACTCTCGATAAAACTCAGTCGATAAAATCCTTTTAAATCACTCTACCTTCCGACAAAACCTAGTCGAGCAAACTTTTTTAAACTATTCCCCCTTCTTTCTCTTTACTTTGGCAATCATTACCAACAACACCAATTACACCAGATGCGAGAGCATTGAGAAACTGATTTTCTCCCTTACTAAAAGGGGAAACACTAAATATGCGAAAGTAATGAAAAATTGACATTCTCTCTAACTAAAAAGGGAAACACCCAAAAACTTCAGGAGTTTACGAGAGGCACTATTACAATGTTTGTCTACATAGAAAGCTCTCTTCTATCGAAGATGAAACCTTGCATCTTACATATCGGAAGCCCTGCTCCCCTCTCTTTAGAAAAAACCACCATTCCCGTTTGTGACCCAAATAGGGCACACAAAGTTTATGCATTTTACTTATATATATATAAGATTAGGAATCTACGTTAAATAAAAAACTTCATATAGATGTTACATATATCTCAAAACCAATATATATACCCAAGAGTCCTAATTATTTTGGATTTATATTTCGTTTAGGAAATTTATGAATATCAATCTCAATCCCACATAATATGGGATTTTATTATGTGGGTGATTTTGAATAGCACCAATTCCAACATAAGTCGTGTCACTTTTTTTAGCTTTTTTTTTTTTTTCCAAAATATCCATGTTCAAAAGTTTGTGTTATGATTAGGGTCTTTTTTTGTAGAGTAATATTTTAGTTGATAACTTCATGTTTATGTACTAGGCCACTGCTAATTTGTTTTAAGTGGAATATAAGTTTTGTCAACCTCTATGGCAATAGTCCAATATTGTTATAGAGAGGCGAATGGAGATGCTGATGTTATCGTCAAAGGAGGAATCCACACTCCCTTTCTATTGATTACTTCATTTCTGTAATCTTGTGTCTTTACTTGAACATATTGTATTTTACATTAGAATCAATGATAAGCTGTATGTTGCCGTTCAAAAAAAAAAAGTTCTGGGTCACATGTATCTTTTCGACGAAAGTCCAGTTTGGATTTTTTAGTTTCGAAAGAAGTTGCATGTGAAGCTTTTGAGTAGTACACCATCTCGAATATTCAAGAAAGAGCAAGAGTTATGAACTGGTATTTCACGAAAAAAAAATGAGGTCCATGTTCGAAACATAGGTTATTTAAAAAACTCACAAAAAAGTGAAACAGAACGCAAAATTAAACATGACAATATATGTAAAGCTCGATAACTTATAGAGGATGACAAGACAAGCTTTTTTAATAGATTGGTTGATTTGCATATTTTTTTGTTTTATTTCAGTGAGAACCATTTAAATGATAAATTTTTTCAAACATATATGTGCAAATTGTTGCATTAAGTAGGGTGTCCACCACCTTAAATAATTACAGGAGGGAGCACCTTTAAATTTTACTAAAAGATGCTATGCCAAAAAGCCTTGAGATGGCTTAAAAATATATTTTCACCCCAATTACGAAGTTTAAACTCTAAAAATGATACAGGGAGATATATAAACATTTAAATTTTTCAAAGCTAAGTCCTACAAGAGATTATTTTTAAGACTTGAAATTTTATTTTTCATTATTTTTTATTTTTTTGTCTATTTTTCGTATCCATACATCTCGAGATTGAGATGATGAATTTGATGTTTTTTCAATATCAAGGTGGATGTTTGAGTTGCACCTTACTTACTCTATATTTAGTATTTAGCAATAAAGCCAAAAAGATTCCAGGCTCTTTCCGAGTCAATCGAAGAGATCAAAGCTTAGTCATCAATTCAATCCTAAAACCGACCTCTTTTCGAAATGAACCGAACCTCGACACCATATTCATCAAAGAGATACAAACCATCTCCATAGGGTGCACACCCCCTTAGATAATTCTATTTGTGCTTGAAAAACGACTTCATCGGTCTACTCCTTTTGAAGGCATTTTTTGCTCCAAGGGTTAACACTCCATAGGACAGATTGTGAACTCTTTCACAGCACTAGTTTCATTTGGATGAGGCTAAAAATAAAGGCCCTAAATTCAAGGTATCCAATGACTAATTTTACTTTCAAGCTAACTTGTCTTTGCCGTCCCCATCTCCTATGCTGGTGCATTAAAATCCAGGTTTTTCTTCCACGACGAGAAGGAGAGAAAAGGTTAGGTTAATATCAATTGAGGCCATATTCATAAATCCCCATTGTTACAGCTACTAAGTCTTCTGTCAATTCTGAATGTTTTATTTATATGCTTGAAAAATAATATGCTTTAAGATTGATTTTTAAATACGAGATCTAATTGTTAGGAATTCAAAGTTCAAATTTTTTTGATTAAATATAATCGTCTAGCGCATGTTTGGTTCGCATGAAAATGTTTTTTAGAAAATATTTTTATATGAAAAAATTATCTCATGCGGTCGAGTGTGTGAATATTTTCATACCAATTGGTCTTAGTGCATATTTTTACACCAATTGACAACTAATTGAAGTAAAAATATTACATGAATTGACCACATGAGAGACTTTCTTCATGCAAAAATATTATTTAAAAAATATTTTCACTCAAACAAAACGTACCAATAATGATTTTGAAGTGGTTCCAAATTATAGGAAAGGTTTCTATACTTCACCGTTTGATCTTAGATCCGACGTCTCAAAATATTTTACTTTTAGTTTTTTTATACAAATTGTATGAATATGAAACTTGGTACGTGCCATCTTCTCATTGAGGTGCACCTATAAAAAATATTAAAAATAATTTATAGATAAAATATAACGATCAAAATATCTCTTAGAACTTTCAAAGGTATTTTGGTTATTTTATTTTATTGGAAATATTTTTTTTATATTTTTCGCTAGTGTGAGTTTATTAGAGGATTGGGCATACAAAAATTAATGTCAAAATAGTTTATAAAAAAAATAAAAAATAAAATAATATAAAGACGAACATTGTGATTGAGACAATCTTAACTCTCTATTCAAAATAAACGGTTGGATAAGGAGAAATATATACGGAAAGCATAGAAAGCTTGTCACCAAATTATACGATCGAAAAGATATTCCCAAGTTAGTTGACGGCGTAAGTGTACAGTATATATTCTCGGGCGATGGCGTATTATACGAGTGGAATTCCTTGCTGGAATATACAGCACGTGCACTAGGGATAGGCGCACTATCACTCAAATGGTCACAGTATTAACGATATTTCAGATATGAAATGGGGGTACTTCAGTCATTTACCAAAACCCTAGACTTCACTCTCCTTCTCGCACTATGCGTACGATGGATCATATTTTTCTCCCGCTGAACGAAAACCCTGCAAAAACCCGCGCAAAACCGAGCTACACTCTATTCACGAACACGATTCTGGTTAGGGTTTTGTAGCAGAAGCTCTAAAAATTTCACAGGCTTTTCATCCTAAGCCTTAAGATAAAGCCTCTGACCTCTAGGCCCTCCATATCTTCTAATTTGTCAATTCGTTAATAGCTCGAATAAGCGTCTAGGAATTTGTTTCTGCTCTGATTTTGCTTATTTTTGAAGTTGTATTTGAGCATTTTTTGTTGGCTCTGTGGTTTTACAATGCCTCTGGTTCAGAGAGGACCTGGCGATAAGAGTGATTCTCGTTACTGTGGTGTTGAGAGTGGCTTTGAAGATGATGTAGCTCATCTCTTGGCTTCTAATTTATCGGCGGGATTCGATTTCATGGTGTTCCCATTGGTTAGTATTTTTATTTTATTTTTGTTCTTGTTAGTTATGTATGTGTACTTATATGTATGTCCCATTGATTAGTATTTTTTTTTGTTTTTTTGGTTGTTCTTGGTAGTAATGTATGTGTAATTCTATGTATGTTCTATCGCAATTGTTTTTTTTTTTTTTGAGACTGTTATGTTCTATTGCAATTCTTGCAATTGTTTTCATTATGAAGAATAGATACTGCAAAAACACAATAACTACTCACGTTGTATGGCTTAATTTTTCCTTGATTTCATATTTATTGCTACTAACTGAGCAACGATTTAATAGATAGCACCAATAGTTCAAAGATTCGAGTTTTTTCAGCGTAAGCGTAGCAATGGATGTTGTCCTTCATCAGGAATCAGAAAATAGCTGCACAGTTTGAATGTTCTGTATAACTGGATCATGCTCGGGAAATGCAGTTGAAATTCAGGGGTACGATGCCCAAATTGTATGAGTTTGACTGGAACTAGATAATTTTTTAGTCTGGTTCTATTTAAGTTGAGATTCACCGTTAATTGGATCGGGATTCCCACCAAAAACCATTAAATGAATATTTTTCCATTAATTGTTTGTTATGTACTCTACATAAGGTCAGTTTAGAGGTTTTAAAAGTATCGCTTGACTGGTGCACCAGCTGAACAATTTGTATGCAGTTATGCACATAAATATGGACATCTACACATGTACCTGTGCATTCTTGTACATCTATTGATATATGCACCTATATTAAGAGTTGTATGGTCGTATATCTTTGAGTGTGAATATGCGCCTTTATAGTGATAATGCATGAGTGCCTTTTAGTTCGATGCGCGTGCCATGCCATGAATTTCATTTTATTTATGTTTGTATAAAAGTTTAGTTCCATATATGTATATATATCGTTGTAGTACGTACATATGTATACAAGTTTAGTTCCATATATGTATATATATCGTTGTAGTACATACATATGTTTTGTTTGCCATTGATTGTTACTTACTTAGACACAATTATGTATGTATGTGTGGACACATATTGTACATGTGCAGAAACATGCCCACACACCAGGTACATACATGCACGATATCTATATTATGTATTTTGTCAATTAAAAAATATGGTGGCCAATTAGCCAGTCACATATTTAGCCCTTGAGGCTTACTATGGTGTGAATGGTCAGTAAGCTCACCTACATCATTGCAGCATCAGTCAGTAATGTGGGGATTCATACAATTTATATTTCCCCAATTACTGTTCCACGGCTTACATAAAAGAGATTATTCACAATAAGATTTTCCTCATGCATGTGAACTATTGTTTTTCATATCATGGGCATGCTAGAGAGTGACAAAGAAATATTAATTTGAGCATATTTGTCTGGGTACAACGCTTGTAAAATGGTTATGCTTTTGTACGGGATTTCATTAGTGTGTTTTGCACTGTTTTCTCCATTAACTGGAAACAAAATAAACTGAAGTGACTAAACTATCAACACATATTAAGTTCATATAATTTGGTCTCATGTAATGGTCCGTGTTCGTATTGACATACAAGGTGTTTGCATGTGAGTTAGGATACCTTTTGATATTGAAGTGAATATGAACAAAGATGATTTTGATTTCTAATATGTACTAGTTTCTCTCAACTTAAGTTTGTTGAGGGAGAAGCAAAAAAAATACAGAATTAAAAAAATTTATTTGGCTATCTGCTAAGACTCATATTTCCTGGTTGTAATTTAGCCAGTTGCACGTTGCCATATAGGCTTATCATCGTGCGAGTGGTCAGTAATCTTTCCTAGATCATTGTGGTGCTGACCTTTTATACTGAGAATCATAGTCGTTTTCATTGTCTTACACCTACAATCAAATAATTATTATAAATTGTAATGGGTAAAAAATTAAAGATTCATGGAAAGTTTTTAGTAAAGTTTTATGTTGGCTGCCTACATAACACAACCCACCTCCTTTACCCGGGTTTGGACAGGTTAAGCGAAAGTTTAAGGTCCTCACCCTTTTTAGACCAAAATGTAATGGATAAAAATGTGAATTTGAAATATTATGTAGAGGTGAGATCTTTCTTTAGCAGAACCACATAGTCTGGTTGGAAACATGTTTATTTCTTGATTTCTCCTTGTGAGATAACCAGCTGTTATTGATACTTTTATATTCTTCCTTTTGTTCGATTTACCTTATTTTTTGTAGTATGCCTGTATCTGTGGTTGTACTTCAAAATTTGGAGTCAAATAGAGGGATGGATGCAGCATCTGTGGTTGTTATCCCCAAGAAAGAAGTTATGGATGACGTAAAAGATCTAAGCATACTAATCAGTATTTACAATAACTAATAGAGGTGCTAACATCCTGGCTAAAAGAAGTTCATAACCAGGTATTTCAATTTGTATTTGTTAAATAGGCAAATAGGCAAATTCTTGATAGTGCATTAGTTGATCGTGAATGCATCCATACTAAGGATTGTAAAATGCAATATTTAGAAGATCACCTTACCCAAGGGACTTTGCCCTTTGCCGAGGTGGGTTACTCGGTCGAGTCTAAGTCTAAGTGAACTTGGCTGAGTCCTGTAAGGGTCAAAAAGCTCTAGAAAAAAAATTGAAAAATAAAAAATCAATGTTTTAAAAAACGGTTCGCCTAGCGCCTAGGCGGCCTGGACAAAAAATCTGCCTGCTTAGACCCATGCGGCACTACACGAGCCGATGTACCTGGGCGGGTGCCCAGGGCGGATGTACCTAGGCCGGCGCCCAGGCGGGCTAGGTGTTTCTTGTTTTTTTAAAACTACAGGGCGCCCGCCTAGGCACTGGCCGCCAAGCAGGCCGCCCAGCGTTTTTTGAAACCTTGAACAAAATAAAGGTATTGAAAGTTAGAAAAAACAAAAAGCAGCCTTAAAAAGTCCAAATATGATTTAAAGAAAATATAGAAAAATGATTTAAAGAAATTGATTTATATTTGGCGACATTTCAAAAAAATCCCAAAAAGGAAAATAAAATAGGGATTATGGCAAAAAAGCACTTACTAATCTATGCCAAAAACATCCAAAATGATATATAGAAATCAAACTTTCCTCCCAAAAAAAAAAATCATATATTGAAAATTTATACAACATACCCGTACCTTTTGCAATTCTTTTGGATCTTTTTTTTTGAATACCCCGAGTTGTACACATATCTCATGATAACTCAGCCTTGCCCATAGGTGGGGCCAAGTAGCTCGACTCGCACTAGTCCTGCGACACTGATGAAAAAGCCTGAGTTCTATGAAAAAATCGATCGTAAAAAGGTATATGACCATGTTGAGTGGTCTTATCTTGACAAAACTTTTAGATTGATGGGATTTGGAGAAAAGTAGAGGGCTGGATCAGATGTCCATTGATAGGTAGCATGTCAATATAGCTCAATGGGGTGCCCGAGTGATACTTCCAAGGCTCCTGGCATGTAGGAAAGAGGATCCCTTATTATTACTCTTGTTTGTAATGGCAGAAATCTTTAGCAGTGTGGCCCCATGTTTTAAAACTTGAGGAATCTGAATCTGACTTGGCTGATTTACTCAAATCTGTCAGGGTGCCAGTCTTGAGTGAAAAAACCATGGTATCCGTAGGTTTCTTCAATGTTTTCTTAAAAATATGGCTGAGTTCGAGTTGGACTTTCTTAAGTCTGGCCCCTAGATTAAAGGTGGGTCATGTCTAGTTTCAAGCTTGATTCTAACTTTAAAAACATTGGTATGGCCAAAAGAATATATGATACTGACTCATTGAATGGTTTTGAATTAGCATTGCTAGGTCCTCTAATCACTCTTCCTATATGCCGACAACACCGTGACTTTTTATGATGCCTCCATGGAGCAAGTGAATAATCCACTTCATGATCGTAGTCGGCTTATGGTGAGCAGAGCTCAAAATAATGGAAAAAAAAAAAAAAATCAAAATCATTGTATCAGTGTTTCAATAAATTTGATGAAGAAAATCATCAGAAGTAATTTTGTTCATTCTAAATCATCCCAAAAAAAAATTGAACACCGATTCGAAGTTTTGAACACTGAATTCAAAATCATCAAACAAATTTGATGTTTATCTGAATCACATTATTTTGACAATATTTGTAAACCAGTTTTGAATAAAAATACTTTGAATTAGTTTGAAATGATCAAATTTGGATTCAAAGAGGTTTGAGTTCAAACTCGAGAAAAGCCCCAATTGTTGTAACTTAAGTTTTTGCAAAAAACAGGGTTTTCATTCAAAAAATTGATCTATGATCTTGTATATTTGTAAACAACTTTTAGATTGAAGAAATTTTGGGACTAAAGTGGCTCAAAATGAGTGACAGATTGGAGGACAGATTTTTGCTGTTTCTGGCAAAAAAGAGGCTTTATGCTGACCTCTTTGGACTCTGGTGATTTTTAGAAAATTGCCCAAAAATTAGGAATCGCCTGAATGTAGAGAAAAGATTTCCTTCATTGAAATGAATTGGGCGATCCATGTTTTCCGAGGGATTGTTATGTTTGTAAGGCTCGATAATCAAGGACCCTTTGTCTGGTTCGGATTTAATGATTATGATCCACTCAGTGATTTTTTGAACGCCGTTTCAAAGTTGTTTCAGGCCTAAGGGTTGCCATGACCAAGACCAAGTTAATGGCAATTGCAGTTTATGAAGAAATTTTGAAGTCACTGCCTCTTTGGCTATTGCTGTTTTGGCTGTTGGATAGAGAGACTTTCAAACAAATACCTCTGGTTACCTCAAGGGAAAGGGTGTTGGGAGGACTTGACATGAAATTAGACTCATCGAAATTGATATTCTTAGCCTTGTGTGTGGGATAATACTTAACATATCCGTTTTTTTTATCTTCTCTGTTTATTTACGTCAATGTTCTCAATGTCGTCATGAATATGCAATTGTATTAAAAGGTTAATGTGTATAATTTTATGGGTGGGCTCCTCAGAGAGACACAATTACCACTTTCTGAAATCGGACTTGGTGTGCAAGAAATGGGTAAAGAGGAGTTATTGACTAGAAAATTGAAAGAAGCAAACCATGTCAAATAATTGTTGATTCCGATGGCAATTGTCCAATCCAAATCGGAACAAGGAGGTCTCTGGTTCCAGAGACTTACGAATTAGAGACTCGGTCCTATTCAAACATGGATCACCCAGTTCACGATAGTGGATTGGGCAGCTTCTTTCCCTCGACTTGGGTGATTCATGAGTTTTTGGTTATGCTTTTTATATTTCCCAAGTCCAACAGGTCTATATGGAGTCCCCCATTCTCTCAAAATAGTATAAATATGCCATTTTTTTCAATTTGTGGCTCATTTTTTAGCCATTTCAGTCTAAAAATTTATTTGATCCTGTTGTTTTTGATAGATCTACATGATCTATAGCTCAATTTTTTGAATCAAAGCCCCTTTTCTGGAAATTGACGTTCCCAAAGTTTATGAATAAAAAATTGAAGTTTTACGATAGATCTACATGATCTATAATTCAATGACTTGAATAATTTTTAGCCTTTTTTCCCCCATCACTTTGAGCTAGCTTGATTTGAATTGCTGAGTGAACTCGAGAATCAATGAGCTACTTCTAATCTCCTGGAGGCTGAGGTGGTCCACATTTCCTGATTTTTTTAATCGATACAGGCCACTATTGGAAACAAGTAATAACTCAAAAGTGTGGCAAAGATGAATCAGGGTGGTGGATAATGGATGTGACAAAATTTGTGGGAGTCTTTGGAGCACTGCAAGGAATTAATGAAGGGATTGTGTGCTATAAGACCATTTACTTCTAGTACAAGAAGGTCACAATCACTTCTGGCCATTAGGTGTTAGGGTATGTCACAAAGTTCAAAAAAAATATTCTATGAACTTTAAGCATGTTCAATATGGTTTTTCACATTTAACGGCTAAGAGTGATTTTGACCACCTTGCACTAGAGGTAAATAATCTTATCATATACTTTTCCTTAATCAAGGACGACAATTATTCATTTAAATTACAAGGATTCCGATTAGAATGGGAAAGTGAACTATATTTTGGCTGGGCAACGGTGCTTTTAAACTTTGATACCCAGAGTTGTAAAACCTTCTCTGATTAGAGATGGTAGAAGGGAAGGATAGACATGCAATTTGGAGCCCTAACTTATGGTGTGCTTTGAAAGAAGAAAAGCTCATAGTGCTACTGAAATTGCTACAGGAAGGGTAGGATTTTTGGTACACTGCCAGAGAGCTATGGAGCTCGGAGAGCAATGGGGACTTCTCAATGAAGTCATGGTACTAAACTAACTCCTGTACTTGCAGCAACCCACAACCCCAAATAACTAAGGTCTTAGTAGCAATACTGAATCAACAAACCATATTCTTCAGTGCGAGAAGTTAGGTAATCTATGGAAATTTGTTTTGGGTCAGTTTGTTTTTCTTATTTACTCCAGAATATATTGAAGCACTTTTAGAACAAAGATCGTTGCCATTAATTCCAAGGGAGGCAAGATACCATAGAGGATGTCCCTGCTTGCTGCTCTGTGGGTCACATAGGGAATGAGAAATAACAGGAGATTTAAGGATGAGAGCCATTGCCTAGGATGGGTGCAGGACACAAATAAAACATTCACTGTTTCATGAGCTTGAGTAAGGAATTATGGGGATATTTAATGAATGAATATGAAACTCAATGGCAAGCTGCAGCATGTTGTACGTTAACAAGAACCCAAGGACCACATAAATGGGATCCCCACTTGTTGATAATGTGAAGCTAATTTATGGTTGTTCCAGGGTAACCTTGGTATGGCTGTTGGGGCTTTAATCAGAGACCATCTTGTGTGAATCCTAGCATCACGTTCTGGCTCATCATATGCATGTGATGTTGCAGAGGCTGAAGCCAAAGCCGTCTCGATTGATCTCAGATGCTTGAACCCAATATGAAAACAAATAGTTGTTGAACGGGGCTTGTAATTGCATGGGTAAGTACGAGAACAAGTTGCCTTTGGTGGCTACGCCCAATTTATGAGGGAATTGGAGACCATCCCTCACCAGTTCACCAGTTTTGGAGGCAATTTAAAAGAAGCAGCAGATAAGTAGGCATGATGATCGACCCCTCCTGGGTCAACCACTGATTGTTGAAGGAGATGCCCAAAACATTTTAACTTGGGCTGCAGGCTTTGTTCCTCCTCCCTAGTACCTTGCTTCGATTTATGTTGAACTTATGCACATTTGCAGGGATACGGTCGTCTTATGGTAGCATATCTGGAGGGAATCAAACATCATGGCGGATCAACTTGCTAAAGATGGACCGTCTTCAAGTGTTTCGGGTCCATGAGAGTTCGTCTTTTTTGGTTTCTCATGTCTTTCTGTCCTACTCATAAAGGACTTTTGGAATTCCTCGTTTTTTGGTTTCTTATAATTTTGTACACTCACTGTATTGTGGGCTACTGTTATAAGCCTCACCCATTTTTTGTATAGAGCTACCATCTCTGGGGAAGCCTTTTTTTTTGCAGAGAGGCCTGGCCTGTGGGCTCCCTCGATGGACCATTGTAATCTTTTACTTCTTCTAATACAACAGTTAACAACATAAAAAAAAAAAAGTTGGCCAGACAAAAGGTGTTTTTGTCCACCCTGATTGTGTCTGACTTTACTTCTTATAGTCCTTTGTGGATTTGATCATGTACGCCAATTTTTTTAATGAGGTGAATTCAAGTTAATTGTCAAAAATAGCAAAAGCAAAAAACAAAATATCAGCATTTATCAATTACTTTTTAAATACTCACAAATGAAGCTACCTTAGATTCTTCCTAAATGCACATTTTTCTTTTTAAATTTCAATGATTATCCAAAAATCAAATGTTATGGGCCGTTTAGAACTTGATGTCTTGGTAATAATGGCTATTGGATTGTAGGCCAGAGAACTTGTGATAAATTTGAAATTGTGGTTGAGCTTTAGTTTCATCTATTGCTTTCATGCTTGGAATTTTTCTGGAGTTATGATATGCTTTATAGATGTTATATGTGCTTCACTGGTTCTCTGTTGTTTTTTATGGGCGATGGCATAGCAGTCTAGTGCATGTTCCTTTTAGTTGACTTTCTTCCTATTTTGGAAGGTTGGCCTCATCATGGGTTTGCTATTGCATTGCATGGCATTGGATCACCTTCCTTCAATACTTGTGATCTTGTCCGATTACTCTTCAGTCTTCATTGCAAGCTTGCACATCATGTTCATTAGGAATTATATATAATTAACATGATTGAATTTTCTTCTTGAGTTATATATTTTTTGTCACATTCTAATGGATTGAAATGATTTGATATTGCAGATAGAACCGAATTACAGGCCGAGCCTGCACAAAGTTGATCATGGTGGGGACTTTGTCTTGCCAGTTTCAGGCTCCGACTTGATATTGAGTCCATCGCAATGGAGTAGTCATGTTGTGGGTACGTTATGATACTCAAAGCAATTTATACCGGACTATTGGTAGTTCTACATGTGTGAATTTACTATTTCTTTCTGTTGAATATTCTAATGTGGTTTGTGCCTTTATTTTCCTAAGATATTATTTAATGTTTGTTCTTTTATGTTCTGAGGCTTGTCATCTTTCATCTGCTATTCATAGTGATGGAGAGTGCATTTCTTTGTTTTTCTTAAGGTTCGCATGGTCTTGTTTTTGGAAAAACATACAATGAGGCTACCTATCTTTGGTAAAAGGTGGTCACAATTAATCTTGACCCATTGGATGTGAAATTGGATGGCTGCATTTACTACATTGACCAAGCTCAAACTTCAAAAGAAATTTTCTCAAACTTTGTGACACACCCAAGCTATTAAATTTCACATCGGATGGTTGCGAATAATTGTGACCTCCTTGTATAAAAAATAAATGGTCTCCGTGTTTGCAATTCCCGTTTTTATTTTATTTTTTGTATGTTAATTGTTTTGTTTTATGAAATCCTTGGGAGTCTCTTTTACATTCTCCCTTGTTTGCAGGCAAAATAAGTTCATGGATAGACTTGGATTCTGTTGATGAAGTTCTCCGATTGGATTCTGAAATTACTCTTAAGCAGGAAATTGCATGGGCTTCTCATCTATCTTTGCAGGTTCGTAATACATATGGAGGGATTTGTTTCAGATGTTTCTTTGCTGTATTCGTGCTTTAGTGTATATGATATTGTTATGGTGTGGTTCTGTTGAATGGAATCCTAAACAATGTTTGGATTCTTGTTGGAATGATTTGCATTGCGTGGCATGTATCCTTGAAAGCATTTTCAATTCTTGATGCATATGTTGAAGGAGTTTTGTCTATAGATGATAGTTTACTTTGCTACCTCATTTCATGATGCCATTTCGAATCAAATCCAGTGCTTTGGTCTTCTATTGTGTAGGCTTGTATTCTTCCTAGTCCTCGAGGAGCACACTGTGGTAACTACGCAAGATGTATAAACCAGATTTTGCAAGGTTTAAACAATATGCAGGTCATTATCTGACCATTTGATTTATCAGTTAAAAATATAGTTGCGGGTGATGTTTCATATTTTTCCTTGTTTAAATCAACATTCTATTTTACCTCCAAGCAGTTATGGCTACGGATACCTTTGGAGAAGTCTGATCCAGATGTTGACGATAACACAAGTGAAAATAGTGGTCATTTGGTGAGTGATTTATGCTTCAACACTTCGGATTTATATTTCAACACTTTCTTTCCACTATATCTTAAGTCTGTATGTTCTCCTTCTCGTTGATTCAAAGTTCATGAACACATTTGGTTGGGCTTGAATTTGTCGGATCCACCTTGGTTCAGATTTCAGAACCCCTTGTCACTCTCCTGAGATAATTTGGCATTGACATCAATAGGATGGGCATAGGAGGAGCCTTCCTTTCAGCTCCTGCTGAGAAACATTGGGCTCAGTCTGTGGTATATGGTGGATGTTCACATGATTGATAATTGTGGTGGTCTTGAGATGCAAATCCCAATTCAATGTCTGTTTGGTTGCTGAGTCTGCAGAAGGCAGAGCAATTGTATTATCTCTTTCGAAGCTACATCATCAAAAGCTAATTGGTTGCCTAGTGGGCAGAAGCCAGAAGATCTGGTTCCTTTACTTTTAACAAACAATTGCAGCCCAGCAAGACTCCTGTTTAGATAATTGGTCAAAGACCAATACACAGTTCCTTATCAGTTATCACCAAAACTCCACCTTTGTGTCCCTATCCTCAGTTAGCCTTGACGTTCAGTTTGCGCTGGATTTCTATTTTTCTAGCAGTTGCAATTCTATTTCTATGGTTTTGTAAATAGGTGTATCTTGGTGATACAACTATTGTGCTCTTTTGGTTGCTCGCAAACCCTCTGTTGTACTTCCATTTGTACCTTGTGACACTTCAAACAATCAGAGATAACTTATCGCGTGTGTGGAGGAATTTGCATTTGTGAATGGATCTGGACGGCACTTAGCTGTATCACTCATTCTTGATGAGTATAAGGTGCAGTTGGCTTTTCTTCTCGAATAGGATTTTATGATTACTTTGCATCCCAGTTGTGTGCAATTCTTTAATTGACATGGGTCATGTATATACACATCTGATTATCATGATAGTTCAAGTTGATGGAAGGAAATAGAATTCCAGGAATTTTTCTGCTTTCCAAAATCGCAGAGTGTGTCGGTTAGTATGCTTCGAGTTTCCAACCTAAGAAGGGCATTCATTCCTTATTGTACTATTCTATGTTGCAGGGTGGGGGACGTGTGATCGATGCCTGGGAAATGTGGAATACATTTCGACTACTATGTGAGCATCATTGTCAACTGTCTCTAGCCCTCGACATATTGTAAGTTTAATGAGCTTCTGACCTGTGGTATTCTATATGTAAGTACTGGATGGTTTGAATTGCTAAATTCTGCAGCTATATTTTAGGTAATAATGTTCAAGTTGAGGGCAGAGTTTAATTACTCACTTGTTCAGTAGGAGTTCATTGCCATCTGCAAATTCACTTGGACGCTGGTTTGGGGAGCCTGTTAGGGCAGCAATCGTCCATACAAACGTAAGGATCTTCTAAGGTTTTGGACTAGTGTATATATGTTGCATGTCTGCATTAAATTATGTTTAGCCATTTAGGTTTATGTTTTCCTAGTTGATATTGATGCGATACTCCTTTCTACTGTACAGTCTTTTTTGACGAATGCAAAAGGATTCCCTTGTCTTTCCAAGCCACATCAGAAACTAATGACTGGTTTCTTTAACCACTCTGTACAGGTTGGTTGTATTTGTTCCTTTCCATATTTGCACTGCTTATTGATGAATTCTCAGTCTGAAAAAATAAATAATGCAGCTAGGGCTTATGAATCTTCTATTAGCTCTCTCTCCGTGTTCTTCAATGTTCAGTACTTAATTTATACTGCAAATTAGTGATATTTTGATGCCAACAATAGGCATTCACCATTCCGTCAATGATAAGATCATAAGATTTCTTATTGTAGATACACATTGTAATTTCGTGTTCCTCAGTAGGTCTATTCTTTGGCAGATTATACTTTCTGGGAAGTTACAACGTAAAGTTCCTCCAGTGAGTTCTGAGCACTTGGGCGCTGATCATGATGGTAATTGTTTTGAAGGTATGTTTTGAAGTTATCCCTTTGAAGTCATTAACTCGCCCTATTTCTGTATATAGGGTTAGAGATTGATGAACTTGATGTGTTTCAAACAAACAAAGAACCTGTAATTGATGAATGAAATCCTCATATTTTGGATTCATTTAAGAGAACTTGTTTATCTTTTCAGTATATTCTTTTTCTCTTCAGTATCCATAACTAATGGAATTCATGACTTGCCTATGAAAGTCGCAAAACTTTTGACGCCGTTGCTCTACTCTTCTCTCGGAAGAAATAGTCTGAGACCATTTAGTTCCCTTGTTCAGTTATGCCCAGTGATCCTCTTCGGCCATACTTGAATTACATTGGTTGCCTTTATCAGAAGATGGGTCCACTCCCTGAGCAAGAACGTTTTGAGGTAAGGCTGATTGGGGTTTCTTGTATAACTGGTGAACTTTGAGTGATATGTAATCTCTATGCATGAATTGAGGACATGGTATTGATTCTGAACTGTTCTGGACCAGCTTAACTACAGGGACTTTCTGCAGTCGCCTTTGCAGGTAAATATTTCTGTTTATGATATTTATTCACTTTTTTAATTTGCTTATAGAATATTCAAAATTTCAATTTTTGTTGGAATTTGTGGAATTTGACCTTGCATTTCTTTTGGTTACAGCCTCTTATGGATAATCTTGAGGCTCAAACCTATGAAACATTTGAGAAAGACACAGTGAAATACAGTCAGGTTGGTTTTTTTCTTATGAGAAGTAATCTTACCATGGATTTTGACAGTTATAATAGTTATGGATTTTAGTGGTATTAGAATTTAGTCATTTTACTTGATTTGGAATTCACTCCTAATTTATCGGTTTAAATTTGGACAGTATCAAAGGGCAGTGCACAAGGCTTTGCTTGATAGGATACCAGATGAGAAAGCATCATCAGTAATAACTGTAAGAGAAGAAAAGAAAATGGCCATAGTTAATCCCATTATCTTTGTGTATTAGTTTTAGCGGTTGTGAAACATTGTTTTTTGTTGAATAGTGGAATACTTTCTGAATAAATAATATATACTGTCTTTCAAGAAAAGAAATAATATTTACTGTTGTTTTTGTGGACATAGGTACTGATGGTTGTTGGAGCAGGGAGGGGACCTCTTGTGAGGGCTTCTTTACAGGTTGATTTCACAATTGGGTTTATCTATGAACTTTTTGCCATGCAATTCAGAAGCATGTTATTCTTTCTATTGGGATGCTAGAGAAAATCCTTTTAACATTTTCCATTAGGGTAAACAACTGTAAAATCTCTTGCTCCTCGTTTCCTTTTTAACTAGGCTACAAAGTATCACTCCCTCTTGAATAATCCACTGGGTGTGCCTTTTATCCATCATTAGATTGAAGAGACCTGGATGCTGAGATTCTCGATAACTCCATATCTACTTCCTTTCCTAAATTGCTTCTAATTGGACTCGACGTATTGTATGCCTTGACCCTTGTAATTAAACCCTGATACTCCCTCTCCACTTCATCTCCCATCCCAAACTTCTATTTTATGAAAGACTCTTTAGGTGCCTTCATTTCCCGATGCCAAATGATCTTTTTCTTTTATAGCTTTTGTTGGTATTTTTTTTACATCAAGTTTTAAATAGAATAGTTGGCGTAATTGTGTATCTGTTTTTGTTTGGTATAATTCACGGAAGCTTTCTTTCTTTGCATTAATGATGTAACTCAGGCAGCTGAAGAAACAGGACGGAAGTTGAAAGTCTATGCTGTGGAGAAAAACCCAAATGCAGTTGTGACTCTCCATGTGAGTTGTGTGTGTGCACGTGCGTTCGTCTGCATGCATGTGTGTGTGGTGCGTGTGTGCGTGTGCCCTTGTGTGCATGTGTTTGTGATTGTCATCATCACTTGCTGATTGGTGTTAATTTATTGAACTTTTGGAAACTTTAAAGTTTGAAGCCTCCTCTGCTATCAATGTTGTTGATACCTATAGGCATGGCAATTAGGTTAAAATCTCTTGCAGTTTCTTATATGGAAATTAAAATTTTTAAAAGTTGTTCTTTGCGTGAAACAGAGCTTGATAAAAATAGAGGGATGGGAGAATTTGGTGACTGTTGTTTCTAGCGATATGAGATGTTGGGATGCGCCTGAGAAGGCTGATATATTGGTATAGTATGCGTACCAATTCTTGTCCTTCACTACTGCTTCTGAAATTCAGGCAAAAGCTGTATGTTATTAATGTATTTTGGCTCCCAGGTGAGCGAATTACTGGGTTCTTTTGGTGATAATGAGCTCTCCCCAGAGTGCCTTGATGGAGCACAAAGATTTCTAAAGCCTGATGGCATTTCAATTCCATCATCGTATGAGTACCATGTCACCTATCTATATGGTTATTCAATTACTTTAGAACCATCTTATAGGCACTTTAGAACCATCTTATTTCAAATTTGTTAGAGATTGTTCTTCTGTTGGTTCCTTTGTTACTTTTTCTTAATATATGTTGTTTCAGGTATACGAGTTTTATCCAGCCAGTGACAGCATCAAGGTTATACAATGATGTAAGCGCCATATTTGTAGCATACTGTGCTGTGGTCGGTTTTGTTGCAGTCTGGTATTTTGAACATTTTTCCTTTCTCTGCAGGTGAGATCACATAAAGACATGCAACATTTTGAGACTGCTTATGTGGTCAAATTACATCGTGTAGCAAGGCTTGCGCCCTCACAACCAGTGAGCTACTCCTGCCACATCTTAAGTTATCGTATTTCCAAATCATTATCCCCCATTCTTCATTATTGTATCATTGGAAGTAAATATGTTCCATACTTAAAAATTGATTATGTGCACAGGTTGGGTATTTTGTACTATGTAGTGGTACTCTGCATATCTTGTCTTTATGTTAATTAAAATGTTTATTTGTATATGAAGTTTGGAATTTGCCACCATTGATGCTTTGTGTTTAGGCTTTTTGTTGATGCATCATATTCAGAATAATTCAGAATGATTTTAAGATGCTCCCTTTTAGAATTTGTGGTTGGTGGTTGTTTCTATAATGCCATTACTGATCGTATATCTTGTCTATTGTCTTGCCATCTTAGGTCTTTACCTTTGTTCACCCCAATAACTCAACTGAGAAAGGAAACCAACGGTATAAGAAAATGCTGTTTGAGATACCATCAGATACGGGCTCAACTCTGGTGCATGGTATATAGTTTTCTTTTCTTATGCAGTTATAATTTTTTTTTGGCTTATTATTCAAGATGTCATATATAGTGAATCTTCATCTGATTTTCTACATTATGCATCTTTCTATTTCATTGTGGAGGCAGATTAATTGGTACTATCTGTTGAACATTTTAGAGATGACCCATAAAGCCTTTTTCATGTTTGAGCATTCTGCCTTCTATATAGAGATGACCCAAAAAGCCTTTTTCATGTTTGAGCATTCTGCCTTCTGCATTCTATATTGAAAAATTTCACCATGACAAAAATAGGATTTGGTTTTGGTGCTCTTAAATTTGAAAAAAAGTAATACAGAAAAAAAAGAGAAAGGTTCGGTATTTGTAGACTGGTACCCAGTGGTGGGAGGACCTAGCATTTTTTCCGAAGACCGGTTTGTAATTTTGCTTTTCTTCTTTTTCACTGTACAGCATACTGCCAGGGGTGACTTTTTTTGTACGTGTTCTTCTGTGAACTCCCCATCCCTTTTTGTATATGTTAGTAGTGCGTCCATTTGTTGGAGCCACTACACAAACTCTGACTTCTGTTTGCAGTGAAACAACTTATGGTCAACTTCTCCAAAAAAAACCAAAAAACAAAAAAAAGATTCAATATTTGATTTCTACATATCCATATATACATCATTACCCAAATTCTATTTTTATTTCCTTGAGCATTGGAGTCGCACACCTTTCTAATATCTAGTTGGTGGACACGTGATGAGCATATTGCCCTTTAAACCCCATAAAAATGTCTCCCTTGTCTATTTATCAATAGTTAATATGGGAAAAGACTTACAAATGCTTATGAGTGAATTTCTACAATATCTTGTTTATGGCTCATTGCCATCCAAAGTCCATCACATGGTCATGGTTGTCTGATCGAGTTTGAATTTAATATTTTTTTTACAAATCATATTCATCTGAAATTTGTAACGTGAGTAGATCTAACCAGCTCTCACCTAAATAAAATATTTAAATATAATTCTAAAAAATAAAATGATGAAATACCCCTGAAAGATTCATGGGTAATTAGGTTATTTTTATTATTTGGATTATTTCTTTTATGTTTTATTTAGGTGCTCCTCACTGATGTGCACCAATCCACCAAATTTCAGGTTAATTTGATTAGTAAAAAAAATGTTAAAATTAAAATACGATTAGACAATTGTGACTTATTGATGGACTTTGATGGTGATAAGCCATGAGCGAAATACTATAGAAATTCATGCATGAGTCTTTTTAAGTGTTCTCCATAAATATGTATGCAAGTGCAACATGTCTAATTATTGTATTGCACAAAAGGTCCCTTTGCTCCTGAAAAAAAAAAAGTCTCTTTTGCTATATGGATGAATTGGTGATCTAACATGCACCTGTCGCCAATATGTAATTTAGGATTTGCTGGCTATTTTGATGCAACGCTTTACAAAGATGTTCATCTGGGCATTGAACCATCAACAGCGACCCCAAACATGTTTAGCTGGTATGTATTTTGGATGCAATGTCATCCATGTTTTGGGATTGATATTTCAATCTTCTTGTTGATCATCATTGTTCTAACATATCTCATTTTCTGAATCAGGTTTGCCATTTTTTTCCCTCTGAGGAGTCCTATATATTTGCCTTCGGGTTCACCTCTAGGAGTGCACTTCTGGCGGTGCTGTGGTGCTACCAAGGTAATCAATTTTCAGACTTCGTAGTTTAGTTCTTTTTCTGAGAAGTACACTAAAAAACTATCTACAATCGGCATGAAGTCATTTTTAATTGACACTTGACCAGCTTTCTTTCTAAATGACAGGCTGTGGTATGCCAATATGAAAAATCTTTACATGTTCAGATTAACCATGGTCAAAGAAGTAATAGTTTGTGTATGTGTTGAATGGAAACTAGTTTTTAAATGTGAGCAGATGCAGAGAGGAACATCTAAAAATACCAAAACATAAAAAAATACCAGAACTTGAGAACACTATGAAAATAGGACACATTACCTTGCGAGGAATCCAAAGATCTATAAAGTCTGAAGTCTTGCTAACATGGAGGATGAATATCCACCCACACGGATGGATACATAGATTGTCCTCTCGGTAAAAAGAAGCATTAGAGGTCTTGATGGCCTCGTATTGAATGTTGATGCAGCATGTTTGAACAGCTAACTAACATCATTGTTTGAAGAGTGTAGTTTATATAAGCACCACAACCTTGCTTTAAGTTTGGAGCCTTATATAACTTGTTTTTAAATTGCCCCATTAGAAAAAAGAACAATTTTTGGAAGCCCCAGGTAAATATAGTTTTTCTAGTCTATGTTTTGGTTAGTTCATTGGAAGGATTGTACATAAGTGTTGCAATCATAATTACTCAACCAATCAAGTGCAATCTCCCAACCAAACTTTCTGCCTTAATTATGGACTTGCCGTTGAATCATAAAGCTTTTTTGGGAAGTCCAAAGAAGACTATAAAGCCGTATAGTCATTCGTCATTGTGGGGAAGCAAGTTATTTGTTTCTGTTTTAAAGCACTACGAGGATTTTGTTAGCACTTCGTTGACAAGTGGGATTCCAAAATTCTGTCACCCATGAGCAAGCCAAATGGGCTGGTTTTCACTCCTAAATGGCTTGAGAGGAAGAAATGGCCACATTACCCAAATTTGGTCTGCGGAATGATTATATCATTTTTGCTTGTATTTATAGAATAAGGAAAAAAGATCCTATAAATCAATGGGCCTGTATTGTAGTATGAGCCTATTGGAACCGGAGGTTTGTTGGACCTCAAATGTGCCATTTTCACTACCTGGCTATTTCATGGATGGTGGTTTTAGGCATTCGGGACCTCAATTGATTTTTTTATCGTTCTTTCTGATCAAAGTCGTGTCAGCCATCTGAAAAAAAATTGTCGTAGCCAACAGGTTTTATATTGTAGTGTATGCCCATGGGCGTAGAGAATCTGAATCTTTTTGATGAAATGAAAAGAGTTCTTTCTATTGTTTGATTGATCAGAGCTCCTATTTTGCTGATGAACAATTTATTTTTGCTTTTTTTAACTCTCTTTATCCTGCAAATACTGGCTTAATGTATGCTGATTTTCGAAGTCCTCTTCACACAATCATCGTTTCTTGTGAGTTTTCACTTTGATTTGATGTGAAATATTTAATACATGCAGGTTTGGTACGAATGGTGCATTACGGCCCCAACTCCATCACCCATCCACAACAGCAATGGCAGGTCTTACTGGGTTGGCTTGTAGTTTATCCAATTTTGTAAAACTCAATAGTTACGTAAATTCTTTCCAAATCTTGTTAATGTAGATCATAAGTCATGCTGGTTTGCTGTACATTAGAGAGGTCTGAAACTCTTTATGTTCCTCATTGAAAAGGAAAAGGTTGACTTACTGGGTTGGCTTGTAGTTTATCCAATTTTGTAAAACTCAATAGTTACCTTGATTCTTTTCAAATCTTGGTAATGTAGATCATAAGTCATGCTGGTTTGCTGTACATTAGAGAGGTTTGAAACTCGTTATGTTCCTCATTGAAAAGGAAAAGGTTGACTTACTGGGTTGGCTTGTAGTTTATCCAATTTTGTAAAACTCAATAGTTACGTAAATTCTTTCCAAATCTTGGTAGTGTAGATCATAAGTCATGCTGGTTTCCTGTACATTAGAGAGGTTTGAAACTCTTTATGTTCCTCATTGAAAAGGAAAAGGTTGGTTCCAACATATATTTCTTGTGTGGCTTGAGTTTATGAAGGCCTCTGGCTTTAAACCTCCATCACGGTAGTTTGAGTTTGGTCTACGTTGTTATGCTGTAACTGAAATGCCGAAAGTCTCTCTTTTACATGTGCGTGTACAAACATGTCCATGCACACCATCAACCATGCATCTGTTTTTGAGGAGCCTCACCAAAAAGCTTACTCTCATCCAAATTTGGCAGATGCTAAATAAACACTTCTATAGAAATTCAAATAGCATTAAATCCATTATTGAATTCCAATAGCATTAAATCCATTATTGATATTCCTCCAACTGGAAAATCTGAAAACAAATTCTTTGCAAAATCCATTATTGATATTCTTCCAAATTTAGGCTGCAGGTTCTACCGTTTACCAAAATCTCTCTTACCATATACAATATAAGGTTCCCACTCATATTATAAAAGCAAGGTGCACTTCTAAATTTTGCCTAGAGGCGTATTTCCAGTGCTTTAAACTTCATGATGGCTTGAGCAGCTAGTTTTATATCTAGCTCTGAAATTTAAAATTTCAAAAATGGTATACATCAAGCGATCTATAAACACTAATCAAGCAATCTATAAACACTTGAAAATCTTGAAAATAAATGGTTTAAGTAACTTGTTACAAGGTGTACTTTTTTTTTGTAGTTTATACATTTCAAAGTCGAGATGATCAATTGGACAGTTTTCCAACATTAAAGCATTCTAGTTTTGAAGTGCCTTCAATAATATAATGCTGCAACCTTTTATAAACTTTTGCCATACAGAATACCATAAAACACATCATTATTGGGAACTTGATTTGTCTTCTTTGTATTTGTGGTGGCATTCTGGATCACCTAGGCCTGCTACCTCGTAATCTTTACCACTAAATTCTGCATGGCTGTTTCCTCAGGTGGCCCAACTGTTCTGGTGTTTGCATATTTCAAACATTCTGGACTATAAATTTCCCAAAAACAAAGAAATATAAAAGAAACTAAAAAAGAAGAAAAACTATTTTAGTGGAAGATCAATAATAATAATAGCTTGAAATCTAAAGAGCTGGTAAGAGGTTTGGTAGTACCTTACCATTTTATGAAGTTCATTTTGTGGCATCCGATCCTAAAACGTCAGACAATTCCTCATCCTGTGAAAAACTCCCATATATAAAGTCGTCAGAATCACACCAAATTAGCATCTATTTATGAGAACCAATAAATTTAACAGCCATAAACTAGCATAAATGGTAGTTTTAGATATAATCACTGCAAAGATTTACTACTCCCATGGGAGAATACTGCACATTTGCTCTTTGGAGTAGAACTCATGTTCGGTTTACTTTTTGGACCCCAAATTTTGGGGATGTAGCCGTTAACGAGCTCAATAAATAAATAAATAAATAAAAAGAAGAACGAGAAGATAAAAAAAAACTTAACTTTCTCCAGTTTGTGGTACTCCTAATGTCACACAAGTAAAACTTTGTTTACCCTTTGGACGTAAGATTTTGGATCTCCTAATATACCGGGCAGGGTAGAAGATTCAAAAGCGAGTGCAAAGCATATCCCTCGTACCCCCACTGCTGCGCCAGCCCCTCCCATCTCTATCCCAACCTCCTCTGCCACAAATCTTGCTAACCTCTACAAATCGTCACTTGTAGGAGTTTTCAATCTTTAGCGCAACGATTGCAAAGATATTGACAGAAGGGCCAAAGAAATCTGGAAGGAACCAAGCCTCACAAGCCCCCTTCTCTCCAACGGGTCCTTATTCTCTTTCCCTACCATTGACTGTTTTGTCTTCCCTGAAGAACTCAACCACGTTCAATGGAGCTTCCCTTCACTTATCTATATGGTCTGCAGACCTGGGAGCTTTCCATCGTCAAAAGGTCTGGGTAACGGCTTCCAACATCCCTCTCCATTCTTGGTGCCTCGACACCTTTACTTCCATCAGCAATGCTTGTGGCCATTCATTGGCAATCTTTGGGGAGCCTCTCGCTGGGGATGCTGTTGTTAATTGTAGACATCCTCGATCCCCAAACTATCCCACCATTTCCTTGGCTTGAGGTGGCCGGAAATTTCTTTCGGGTGTTTATTTCCTGGTTGACAGCTTCCCCTCCCTCACCCCGCTTTGTGTCCTCGTCCGACCCCCTGCCGGTCGATCCTCTTCGCAATCACCCCACTTCCCCGCTTGCAGAGAAGGATAACAATTGGACGGTAGTCTCCCGAAAAAGCTTGCCTCGTAGGACTCCCCCACACCAGTTTCTCCGTCATGCTTGCCGTTACCACCACTCGCCACCTCTTTAGACCTTTGGCCCCACCTACTAGCCCACCGCCTACCTCGTACCATCAGCCACCTGATAACCCGTTGGTCCTGCCCCCTCTTCCACCACCTCAAACTTCATCTCCACCACCACCCTCCCATCCCCCCCGTGCCACCGCTTCCGCCACCACCACATCCACAGCATCCGCCACCCCCCCTCATGGGAGCAGTCAAAGATTTACTACTCCCATGGGAGAATATTGCACATTTGTCCCCTGAAGTAGAACTCATGTTCGGTATACTTTTTTGGGGATGTAGCCGTTAACAAGCTCAATAAATAAATAAATAAATAAAAAGAAGAACAAGAAGATAAAAAAAACATAACTTTCTCAAGTTTGTGGTACTCCTAATGTCACAAGTAAAACTTCGTTTGCCCTTTGGACGTAAGATTTTGGATCTCCTAATATACCGAGCAGGGTAGAAGATTCAATAGCGAGAGCAAAGCTTATCCCTCGTACCCCCACCGCTGCGCCAACCCTTCCCATCTCTATCCTAACCTCCTCTGCCACAAATCTTGCTAACCTCTACAAATCGTCACTTGTAGGAGTTTGTAGACGTCCTCGATCCCCAAACTATCCCGCCCTTTCCCTGGCTTGAGGTGGCCAAAAATTTCTTTCGGGTGTTTATTTCCTGGTCGACAGCTTCCCCTCCCTCACCCTGTTTTGTGTCCTCGTCCGACCCCCTGCCGGTCGATCCTCTTCGCAATCACCCCACTTCCCCGCTTGCAGAGAAGCAGAACAGTTGGATGGTAGTCGCTCGAAAACGCTTGCCTCGTAGGACTCCCTCACACCAGTTTCCCCGTCATGTTCGTCGTTACCACCACTCGCCACCTCTTTAGACCTCTGGCCCCACCTACTAGCCCATCGCCTCAAATTTCTTTACACCACCGCCTACCTCGTACCATCCGCCACCTGATAACCCGTTGGTCCTGCCCCCTCTCCCACCACCACCACCTCCCATCCCCCCCCCGTGTCACCGCTTCCGCCACCCCCCCGTGCCATTGCTTCCGCCACCCCCCCCCCCCACTTCGCCTCTTTCTGCCTCGGACTTGACCACCCTTGTTTCTCTTCTTGATGCATTGGCCGAGGAGCCACCGGTAGTTGATCGACCGGCCACAAGGCACTTTCAATGCTCTCCCGCCTCACACATCCCAGTACATCGGCCAAGGAGCTAGCATCTACTGACCGCCTTCCCATGTGGCATCATATGCAATTCCGGGTCGGGCTGAACACTCTTTGACGCCGCCTCCTCAGGATTTTTCTCCTACGACCGTACTGATGCCGCTGCCATTCTCCGTCGATTCAACTTCGTTCGTACCTTCTCGGGTACGTTTGGATGACTTCCCGCATGCCTCTGCAATGCCCCTCCTTGCCGCTCCCGATGTAAGAATGTCCACCGTCGCCCTCCCTGCCTTCCACCTACCACCCCCCGATGTCCCTTCTCGAGAACATCGGTCCCCTGAGAACCGTTCACCCTCCCTTAGTTTCTCCCATCAAGATTTTATTCAACAGCTTGTCGGGATCACTCCATTTACTACTCCCTGGGATTATCGCCCAACAGTTAACCCACTTTATTGTCACTTCCACCGCTGGTACCCATTGCCCCTTGGCTCAAACGCCATCATTAGCTCCAGACATCCCATCGCCGATACATCTGAGACCCTCCAACTTCCCTCGCTTAACCCCTCACTAATGGCTCCTTCTTCACTCCCTATTCACTCTATTTCTGACACCACCTGCTCTATCGCTCCCCCTCTCATCGCCCTCCTTTCAAACTGGGGAGATGACCAGAACCTTCAAAACCTCCCTCCTCCTGATCCAGAGAAGACCCCAGAAGGCATGGACCCTTGAACCCTGGTGTCCCCTCCTGTTCTCGTGGGCTTTCCTGCAGACCCCACTAGCAGTGAACCCATCATCATCTCTATCCCGGTGGTCACCTTTTCCTCTTTGCCCCCTATCATCCCCAACCTCGCACCTTCTCCTCTCCTAAACCCAACCCCTCCTCACTCTGGCCCCTTTGCAGCTCTCCTCCCACCTAATTTTTCTAACTTCATTTTGCCTGGCCACCAGAGTGAACCTACCATTTTGCCTTTCTTCCCCTCCCACCCCCCTCCCCCCTCCCCCCTCCCCCTGACATGTCTCCTCGTTCCCCAACCACTGCCTTGACTTTACCACTCTCAACTACCCTTACCCAACCCCTTACTGTTACCCCCACCACACCAGGCTCGATCACCAACCCTCCCGTGACCACTTCTCCTACTTTCTTTTCTCCTGAACCTGCTTTGGTTTTTGCTTCCTGCTTCTCAACTTTTACTTCTCAGGCAGGTCCTTTTTCTTCCTCCACTTCTCTGACTGATATTGTCACCCACTCTCAAGGGGATCCTTTCGGGCTCTCCTATGGTATTTTCTGACCCACCGAGGCTGACCGCCTCCCTTTCCCTGTGTTGCCAGTCATACCCTCGCCTTTGGCTTCTTCCCTTGATTTTTCTCCACGAGCTACTGTCTCAATTGATACTATGGGGGACCCTCTCTCTCCCCCTTCGATGGACTCCGAATATGTCGACGGCATTGATGCAAGACAGGGCCAGATTCAAGAGGTTATGAAAGACTGGGCTTCCCACAAATGGAACCGAACGAACACTTTCAGGAGTTCTTTTGGGCGCGTTCGGGTAAGCAAGAAGGGTTATGACCGACCCTCTTCTTCTAGCAACTCTACCCCTCAAATACCTCCTAAGCACCGGCCTCCTGACGAGGCGCATCCTTAGGAACTTACCTCTCCCTCATGTTATTACATGTTGATCCTATCTTGGAACATTCACGTCCTTGACCAAACCCATAAAAAACAAGCGGTTAGGGATCTTTGCTGGAGACAAACCAACTGTGTTGGTCCTTACGGAAACAAAACTACCCAATTCGATCTCTTGTCCGACAAGTTTGGGGTCGTCGACCCCGTCAATGGGTAGCCCTCCCCGTGGAGGATGCTTCGGGGGAAATTTGGGTGATTTGGAATCTCATAGCCCACTCCCTAAATTCTTCCCACTTGAAGAGATTCTCTGTCTCAATCCTTCTCTCCAGAATTTCTGATGGCCTTCATTGGAAATTTTCAATGGTCTACGGACCTAATTATGATGCGGATAGACCCATTATTTGGGATGAATTGAACCTTATCGCACAGCTTCCTCACTAGATTTGGTGCATTGGTGGAGATTTCAACGTGACTAGGTGGTACCATGAGAGAAACTCCCCCTTTCAGAATTACTCCGACAATGCCAGCTTTTTCCGATTTTGTTGCCCTCAATAATTTGGTCAACCTACCTACTCAAGGTGCCCAGTTTACCTGACCCAGTCATGCCACCAACCCATCCCTTTCCAAACTAGATCGTTTCTTGATCACCATCGACTGGGACACCAATTTCCCTAGAACCCATCCTTCGGCTCTACCAAACCTACTTCCGATCATTGCCCCATTTTACTTGGCACTAAAATTGTCGACAATGGTCCAAAACCATTCAGATTTGAACTCACTTGGTTAGAAGAACCTGATCTTCTTAACCACTTCCCCATTTGGTGGCAATCTCTCTCTACCCTGGTAGAAAGTTGGGCTGGGTTTAAATTGCAAAGAAAACTCCAACTTTGAGGACTCATCTTAAAACTTGGAGTAGGGGTCTACCGGGATTCCTTGGGCCTCAAAAATCCTCAACCCTGTAGTCCATTCAATCCCTAGACATCCTTGAAGAATCTAGACCACTCTTGGATAGTGAACTCATCAGCATAGATGAAGCTCAAATTTCAATACCAATCAATCCTCAAGAAAGAGGAAATATTTTGGTATCAAAGGTCCAAGATCAAGTGGTTGAAAGCAAGGGACGTCAACATCGGCTTCTTCCATAAAACTGCCAATTGTAGATGCAGAGACAATACTATCACCCATCTTCTAGTGGGGGATAACCTTCTGAGATCGAGCAAGCCATCCTTGGCTATTTTCAAAACCTTTTCTTTGCCCCACCATCTCCTCGGCCTCCCATGGGTGACCTCAATTTCTTGACTCTCCCTCCGGACAAGGCCTCGTGGCTAGAGAGGTCATTCTCTGAACAAGAAATCTTAGCAGCCATTTCTGATTTGGACACAGACAGAACTCTTGGTCTTGATGGATACCCTATTGCACCCTTCACAATGTTTTGGGACTCTTTTAGAATAGATTTCCTTGACCTATTCAATGAATTCTACTCTCGGGGGGTCCTTCATAAGGCTTTGAAAGCTACCTTCATCGCACTTATTCCCAAGATCGAAGGTGCTTCTCAACTCAAAGACTACCGCCCTATTAGCTTGATCAATTCCACTTACAAAATCTTACAAACTGTTCTAGCCTCCCGTCTCAAAGAGGTCCTTCCCCTACTAATATCCCCCACACAAAATGCTGTCATTAAAAATCACCAAATGTTGGATGGGCCATAAGTAGCCCATGAATGCATACATTCAAGACACTTAGCCAGGGTACCTGGCATTGTCGTTAAGCTCGATTGGGAGAAGGCTTATGACCACGTAGACTGGGACATTATCGAAGAAACCCAATCTAGGATGGGTTTCAGTTCTAGACAGAGAACCTAGATGAGAGCTTGCTTCTTGCACCCCTTCTTCTCCATCCTTATTAATGGTACCCCCAAAGGCTACTTCCCTTCAACTAGAGGCCTCAGACAGGGAGATCCCTTATCCCCCTTTCTCTTCGCAATCGCGGCTGAGGTTTTTAGCCGTTCTCTTTCAATACTCAGCTGGTCGCATGTGGCTTCTCGGTCTGCCTTAGAGCTCCGACGGCATCCCACCTCTAGTACGCTGACAATATGTTGGTTTTCTGCAACGCCTCACTCGCTGAAATTCATAACCTCTTCCTGTTTCTTAGGTGTTTTGCCTTTGCGACCAGCTTCAAAGTCAATTTTAACAAAACAAATGATGAGTGTAAATGTGGACCCCATTACACTCTCAACTTTTGCTCATAGTTGGGGTTGTGGGGTAGAGTTACAGCCCTCGAAATACCTTGGGATTCCACTATGTATAAGCAAACCTCGCTTTAGGCTTTGGTTCCATATCATACATAAAGTGGACCGCAAGCTGGCTGGTTGGAAAGGTCGTTTCCTCTCTCCAGGAGGAAGACTTACTCTGATCAAAGCAACACTTGCCAACATATTGGTATACCAAATGTCCATTTTTCATACGCATGTAGCTGGTAGTTCCAGAATTGAACAGATGATGAGAAGATTTTTCTGGTCCGGAGATGATTCCAATAACAAAATGCATAAGATAGCCAGGGATAAAATCTACCAGACCAAAAATAGGGGTGGCCTTGGAATCAAGAACCGCAAAATCCAGAACAAGGCACTACTAGGAAAATGGTGTTGGCGTCTTTCAACCCTGAGCAACCAATTATGGTTGACGTCCTAAAATACAAATATCACCTACCGAACTCCCCTTGGCTACTGAAATGCAGGGCTAACCAGAGGTCCTTGGGCATTTGGAGATCAATATGATCAACCTTCCCAGCCTTCTTTTCCTGTATTAGATTCCATCCGAGGTCGGGAAATAGAATTCTCTTCTGGTCAGACCTGTGGATAGGGCACACCCCTTTGAAGGACATATTTCCCGATCTCTTCTCTTTGGCCAGAGATCAGGGAGCAACTGTGGCTGACGAAATGCTACCGATAGGGTCTCTTCAATCATGGAACGTAGATTTCAGGAGGGCTCTCAATGATCTAGAAACTGAGAGTTTTGCCACTTTAGCGGCAGAACTTCAGGCTTATTTCTTAGCACCATTGGGGCCTGATTGTATCATTTGGTGTCCTTCACCTTTAGGAGACTTCTCAGTTTCCTTTTTCTTCCGCAGCCTTTCTCTTCCACCAACCTTCCCTCTCGCCCCTACTGCTGCAGCTGCCCAGGCTTGAAAATCTTTCGCCCCACGAAAATATCAAGATTTTCATGTGGTTGACTCTCTCACAGAGAGTTCTAACAGTAGATCATCTACAAAGATGAGGAATCCCGATTCCAAATTGGTGTGTCATGTGCCTCTTAGAAGAAGAGACAAACAACCATCTCCTACTGCACTGCCCCTATGCTTTCAATCTCTGGGGAGCTATCCTCAAACTGTTCAATGTGCAATGGGTGCTACCGGCAGTGGTGCCCTCCATCATATCTTCCGTCCAAAACTTTCCCTTGGCATAAAGAAGGGATCCTTCTTAGGAAAACGACGGTGGCTGCTGCTTTGTGGGCACTTTGGATTGAGTGGAACAACAGAATTTTCTGAGGGGAATTCTCAGATTGGTCCAAAGTCTTCAACAAACTTAAGTCCACAATCATTTTTTGGGTGACCAACCACCAATTCTTCAAAGGTGTTCCCTCCTTGGCCTTCAACCGGGATTGGAACAGCTTTCTTCAATTCCATCGCTTGTGTTTGCAGCGAGCATCTAGATGGAAACCTCCACCTATGGGAAACTTAAGCTCAACTTTGACGGTTGTTCTCTCGAAAACCCCGGCCCTTCAGGCATCGGAGCCATCCTCCGAGACCACCTCATTGCTACTGTGGAAACTGTCTCCAAACACATTGGCCATGCTAATTCTGTGGAGGCCGACGTGCTGGCACTCTTGGAAGGCCTCAAACTCATTCAACCCCTCCACCTGCACTCTCTCCTCGTCGAGGGAGATTCCAAGAACACAATTTCTTGGGCGCAAAATCTTCCCTCCTCTTCCCCTTGGCATCTGAACCACTTGTTTGATGAGATTGAATACCTTTGCAGGAATATGTCCGTCGTGTGGCTGAATATATGGCGGGAAGGAAATCAAGCAATTGACTCCCTTGCCAAAGAAGTAACAACAATGGAAAACGATTAGAAGATTTTTGGGCTTTTAAGTTTTTTGCTTTCTGTTTTTACAGACCTAGTTTAGTGGAACGACCTATTTTTCTAGGTTGTTGTGTCTCATTGTAACCTCTTAAAAGAGGATTTTGATTCCATTTTTGGTCTTCTCATCCCTTGAGCATCCTTTTCTGTGGATTGCCAAGGTCTCGTACTTATTCACTCTTTTATTAAAGATCAACACTTTCCAAAAAAAAAGAAGAATGAGAGAGAGAGAGAGAGAGAGAAGGACTCTCTTATGTACCTCAAATTTTCGAGGGCCAAGATCCAGGCGTTCATGAACATAAAATCCATTTTTTTTCCCTTGAAAGAAATTATATGATGATGCTTAGATGAATTCCAAAATTTCAGGTAAAAAAATCCTCCCAAGTCTTTTTCCCAAGGGAATTCTTGTACACTACGCTCCTACGGGACCATGCAATGCACTCAAAAAATTGAGCATCACAAATAAATTTATAATGTGGTAGAAAACAGAACCCATTGTCTGATGTAGAAAAACATGTTCAACAGTCTCCATAATTGCATATATTATCAACTGTTGTGACATGAATATCAACATATTTTGGCTTAGCTACTCCAAGCAACTAAAGCCAAATTGCAAGTTGAAATTGAAGGTATTGAACTTTTTGCCACTCTTCAGGTAAAGAGAAAAAGAAACTTCTTGTCATTTATTTTTAGTTAAGTCAGATTTGGGCCAGGTCCTTGGATGAGAAGCCCGGGTTATGAGGAATGAGTCTTTCTCAGTTGACTTGCTAGGGTGGATGGGCTTTGGGCAATTGATGGCCTTGAATGGCAGTGTATTTCAATTGATTAGTTCTGTTTTTTTGGTCTCTCAAGGGGGGCATAAGACAAAGCAACTACCTTTCTCAATAGCTTGATTTGTTTTCTCTATATCTCCTGTATCTTTTATTTTCCACTTTTTCAAATCACTTGTCATTGTTAATCAAGATTAACGATTAAAAGTAAAAAGTAAGTCTAATTGAACCTTATAGTTTAGGAGTTCTGCCTGTGCTTGTGATAGCACCCACTGATGGTAATCTTGTAGAAGCTGTTGGATGAGCAGAGGAACGAGCTTATCAACCAAAGCTTGCATGAGTCTGAATAAAAAACACAGAATTCAAGTTCAACTAGACCAAGGAACATGGCAAATGAAGATGAATAATTCAGGTCCGGTAATTTCTTTTCTCTATTCGAGATCACTAATCACATTTTGAACTACAGAATGAGTCCTTCAGATTTTAAAAATACAACAATTTGATTGAGTCCGGAAAAGGATTTGGATAAGAAGGCACATGTGTGGTCTGAGGACACTTCAGAAGTTAGTCAAACTTGTTTATGGGGAACTCAGATTAGGTAATCTAATAAACCCTAACTCCTTAAATATTTTCCACAATATATTAAAGAAGTTAGTTTGATCCAATGTTGAAACAGAGCGAATTGAAATTACTAAAGAAAGTTTTTCACTCCCTGACAAGTATTAAAGGAATTTTTACATAAATGATTCAAGCTAAGTTCGAGAATAGGATTAACTTATCTTCATCATATAGACTACTTGTTGACCAACTATAATGAGGAGTGTACTACATATTGAGGAGTGTACTTCAATTTTGATATAATCCCTTGAATTTGAGACAAATAAATTATAGGAAAATCAATTTATTATATTACCATTCAGATTGACCCAGGGCTAACAATTCAGATTGACCCAGGGCTAACAAGCTGTAAGGATATGCAATAAGTTAGGTTGGGGCGTTAATTATGCCAAAAGATTACACGAGGGAGAATATCATGCATTCACTCTTAAAGACCATCTAGGAGTATTGATGTAACCTCCTCAAACAAGCGGCAAAAAATCTTTTTTAAAAAAAAAAGAAAGGGGGGGGGGGAATGTACTCTATATGTGCCTGAGAAAAGATAAAGGAAAATTATTAATTTGCAAGAAATGCATTAGTTAATATTTTACAGATTTGTAACTATTCCAAGTCATGATCATGTGTCTTTTTATGGGTATTTTAAAATAAAATAAAAAAACATGGCTAAAATGTTAAGTTCATGTCTCATGGGTATTTGATGAATTCCCCAAAAATGGCATAAGGCTGAAAGGGGACCATCCAATTTTTCGCCTGTCAGGTATTTAGTCTTTAGAAACTCAAAATCCATTTTTCCTTCTTGAAAATACTCATCTGATGATTTCAAATTCAATCGCAAAATTTCAGTTTAAGAAAATCCTCCCAAGTATGTCTTTTGCCAGGGAGTAAAGCATACAACATGCTACTGCAGGAGTAGACTATATGCGCTTATGCAATTGAGGAAAGAATAAATTGTGGGTAACTTTTCAAAGGGGCTCGTTGTGAGGAAAAGCGATCAGGGAATTCGTTCAAATATCAACGGCACACAGATTTTGTCAAAAAGAAATTAGAGGAACTTGCCCGCAAATTGCTCAGGAGCAATGAAAAGTTTCATCATACAAAGGGCAATAGAATTAGATTTACTTACAAATTGCCAGGCGTTTCAACTGCTGTTATTGGAAGCCTGGTGAATGGTGCCATGAACACCTAAAATACAATGGAGAACTGCTGTAAATGCAGAAAGAAAACAAACAAACAAGCAGGCATGCACTACATTAGAGAGAGAGAGAGAGAGAGAGAGATTCATGTGGCATTAACTTTGTAGCAGCAATTATATTTGATGGTAAATAGCATCAGGCAGGAGTTACATGTATATAAGCTCTTAATAACCCATGTAGAAACTTACAAGCATACTCTGATCTTAGGTAAGGAGAAGGTACAGGACCTCAAGTGTGATGTTCAACTTCACATCCATGTCCAAAAATGCCTCAATACAGTTTGTATCCCATGTAATATGATTTCTCATAAATGCTGCCAACAAAAAAAAAAGGAATAAATGCTGAGAAACAAAAATAAATTACACTGCAAACTACACGTGCAATTACGCAACAAAAGATTCCATAATATGCAACTTCTGTTACAAAAAATTCATTCAAAATTTAAATCAATGTGTTCAAGAGTTTCCAGCTTTAAGAAATAAGGGAGGCTTTAATGTTAGATATTGCATTGTGGTGTCTTCCAGATTGTTGATCAAATATTTTTAGGCTCTAAAAAAAATGAGTTAAACAACATTCTTTATATCATTTAAGTATTGAACTACTTCTATATGGTGCAAGAACAGACCTGAAAAACGTTGACTTTGACGTTCTATAGCCTCTGATCCCTCAAACTGTAAATCCAATAAATTGAAGAAATGGATTCTCAAATGAACTCTCAAAGTTAAAGGAATAATACAGGACTAGTAAGCTGCCATTGCCAGCAACTTGGTAGCCTCTACGTGTTAATCATGGAAAATATGTAATTTCAACAAAACTAGAGAGGTCAAATTTCCCTGGTAAACATGTAGGACTAATATCTTACATAGTGTTATCAAGTAATTTGAAAGACATTAACCATCATACATATAGTTGTAGATTCATTAGTGAAAGCAACTACTTTTAGACACTGAACTAATTTAAGGAAACCTATGGTTGTGTAAATCATTTTACAGTTACCAGCTAGTACTACAATATGACGATCATGATACATTTGGTTCTGATGCATGGAGAACATAGTTTTAATCAGATGTTCATGGAATTTTGCAAATGCATGCATGGCTCATCCTGAAGTGTATTAAATATTTTTATTGATCAGAAGGCATTCTTAATTACTGGTTATCCAAAATTTGAACACACAGAAAAGAAACCTACACCGCCAGCGGATACATCATGGCTAGAAAATTTTTACCAAGTAACCAGGGATGGATACAAAAGAAACACCATGGAGAACATGGCTCAAATAATTCTCCTAATAAACCAAATACAGATTATGGCTTCAGTGAATTCAACCAAATTCTTTTTGTTAGACCAGCTCAGGTTATTTTAGTGGTATCTGAGAGTGATATTACAAAGAATCTAACAACATCAGCAAATTGAACTTATTTATATTTAAAATGCTCCATCGAGATTTTCTAAATCATCAATGTGAAAGTTCCATTATCCTTGCATAGTGGAAGCATCATACTACATTTATATTAGTACCACAAAATCTGATGAGGAGATCATAGTTATACCACCGTATGATGAAAGCAAATGGAGAAACATGTATACAATCTTACTTTAACAGCAATCAGTATTTCGAAATTTTAAAGAGATTAACCATCATCACATGAAAGCATAGTTACCTTGCATGACAACAATTCAACAACACAATCATCAGTTGTAGTGGTCACACGTAGATCCAAGATGGGGGTTACTTCAAATTTTAATAATGAGATTTTCTGCAAAGTACACCTACAATAAAAATATCAACTGTCACTTGGTGTAAAAACACTGGAAACCCAGCAGTTTTAAAGTTAATATAGGTTATCTGATGGTACAAATAATGAATTCCCTTGCTTATCTTGCATTCCATCAAAACTACTATGGAGATCATATTTGAAACGTGGAGATAACAAACCAATATGCTAGTGAAGGACTCTGCATTAATTTGAAATGAATCGAAGGACTTATTAAATAAGTGAGTCAGAGACATGAACCTGTATGTGTTAGAATCCAATAATTCAAAACATTGTAAGGCCCTTGTGTTCAGTATTGATTCCATCCCCAAAGGATGAGCAAGAAAGCTGCTGAATGGATAACTTATGCCATAGTCATCAACATAATTTGGGAGCTTGACTCTTTCCTTCCTTTTTGCATACAAATTTGCTTTTTTTACTTTTGAATCTGAGGATTCTGCTTTTGGCATTTGAATTAAATCAGTTAACCTGCAAGATTCATGTTCAAAGTATATGACATGTTATCAAAATACCCCTGATTTGGTCAACATAAAAACATCCCTTAATCTATGAAAAGAAACAAAATATCAAATTATTTACCATGCGTCTCCAGTTTTACAAATTGCAACACTACTGAGTTTGAAGGTTCTTTTTTTTTTTTTGGGAGGGGGGGAGGGGGCTGGTTATGTTTGAAGATTCATACACTTCAAAATCAAACCTCACTAACAGAATCATTTGGAACCAAGAGTCGCTCGTTACCCCTTGTTGCCCACCATCAGACAAATCCCACATCTCAAAACCAACTTGCTATCACAAGAATCAATATATATATATATCAATGTTCGAAAATTCGGCCACCCAACCGCCTAGGCAAAAAAAATTTAAAAAATGCCTAGGCGCTGTCTGGGCGGGATCATTTTGCCCCGTCTTTGGGCACCGCCTAGGTGCTACTATCTAGGCACTCGCCTAGACGCCGCCCAGTGATAGCGCCCTGTGACACTTTGCAGACGGGCAGAAAAAAAACCTCGACGAGGGTCAAAAAATGTAATTCTCCCTTCCCCCCGACAGAAAAGGGGGAAAAGGGTTTTGGGGGTATCCTAAGCCCTCAAAACAAAAACCGTTGCCTTTATGGTAAGAAACCCACTCCCCCTCCCAAAAACCACTCTTTTGTGATTTATCAAAAGATAGATAAATTTTTATTTTTTCGATTTCTTCACAAAACAAAGGTAATAGTTTGTGAGTGGATTTGGAGCTTCTAATAGTTGATTTTGAGAACTTTTAGCGACCCAATAGATGAGGTTTGCACCAACATCGATTTGATTTTCATATTTTTATAGTACTATCATTTTTGAGACTTGTATCCGTAAATATGTTGTGTTTATCCTATTACATTTTCGTCTATTTCACGAGGAGTTTGGGGCTCTAAAATAGCCCTAAAAACTCCCTAAGGCTTAAAACCATGCCCTAAGAATTCCCCTGTTTTTATTTTTTCTTTTTTTTTTTAGGGGGGGGGGTTCAATTTTAGTGAGGGCACCTTGTCTCTGGGCGCCCGCCAAGGTGGCTGAATCCGC